TCCTGCTGGATTTTCTCACCTTGCCTTGGGCCAGCTGCAAGGAAAATATCTCGGGAAAAGAGCGGACAAGCCAGCAAAAACAACCTGCAGACCTGACCGAGTCATCATGTATGGGTTTTGGAAAATGTGGCCTAAACAAAATTGAAGTTCATTTGCTTCTAACTATCAGACACTTACTTTTGTGAAGCTTTTTTGGCATGAAAAAATGAATGAAGTCTTCAAAAAAAGTTAATGAAGGAAAAAAACACACCCTACGACAGAATTTAATTACAATTTTGGACAATTAAACCAGAAGTTGTGAGGATAAATAGCTCTCTGATTTACAGTGGAATTAAACCCTAACCCTAAATATGTGATGCTGTCAACACTTGTTAAAAAGAAACTACAGACAGCAAATGGCACTTTTATGTCTCTAGAATGTCTGTTTTGCCACCAAATAATCTGCACCTCTTCAGGTTTCTTTAATTAAGAAAAACAATCCAGGCCATAACAAGTAGTGGATCTACTTACATTAACTGGCTTAATGACCCAGAGACACTTCATTAATCAAGTGTTGGTTTACAGTTCCAGATGTTTTTCATAGTTTACCTCTACGAGCAACTTAATCATATACATTCTTTCTGCAGTCAGTAAAACAGGTGTTATATTAGCAGAGCTGCAACTAATAATTTGTTTTTATTTTAGGCTAGTCTGTCCATTTGTTTTGGCTATAAAATGTAAAAAAAGCATTTTTAAAAAAAATGCCTGTTATATATGTATTCAAATAGCTAATTTTATTCTAGCAACACTATAGCAAGATATTCAGCCACATATGACAAAGTAATGCATCAAGTCTTCACATTTGAGACGCTGGATTCAGACCATGTTTGACCTTTTAGCTTAAAAAAAAAAAGACAAAACAAAAACAACTGCTCAATTATCAAATTAGACACCAACTCATTTTCTGCCAATTGACTAATAATTTCAGATTGAGACAGCAGAGTCTGAAAAATGTGATTCCAGGGAATACTGAGGAGTTTGGAGGATCTGATTTTAATACCTCAGGTATGTTAAATGGGCTAGCTGTCTCCTGGTGACTAATAAACCCGGCCAAACAGAAAACTGTGAGCCTTTACAGATGTGAGCAATAGTAGTTCAGTGAAACTGAAGATGGAAACTCTACCATCACTCTGCCAACCTTGCTCTAAGAATAAACTCCTTCACTTAAACAAATTGCATAATTTTCCACAACAAATGCTGTCACACAATGACAGCACACTCTCTGTTTCCTTCTTCCTGATGCATCCCCCAAAGCCATCTGACCTCCCATGCCCCTAATTGCCACGGCCAATCCGTCTTTAATCCACGTTCATGCTGTTCTTACCAGGTCACCACGCCTGTGAGGAGGTTCCAGGATTCTGTGACTCAGCATGGAGAAAGGAGGAGACGTCTTTATTACCAGCAGGAGAAAGCTAACAGGCAGCCCCAGCAACCAGACAGAATAGGTCAAACCAGGCTACAACTGGAGACCTCCTGACTATGGCTGGCAGGTCATTTAGATGGGAGAGGCATCGGTCCCTCACAACAACAGGACAAGAGCATTTCATGTCATGTTAATTGGTGGTAATAACTAGAAGATCTGACCTTTTGTCTTCTATGCAATTCTCAGTTTTACATGACACAATGTTTGTCAGCACTTAATACAGGATGAACTGTACCAAAAAGAGAAATACTCCCATTTCAGTAAGTCGAAAATGAAATCATCTTCCAAAGGCGATTAAATGACATACAGCATGTAAGTAAAACCTGGGTCATTGCTACAGAACAAAATAGCCAAATAGGAAAATACTAAGTAATGCTATATTATTTAAATCTGGTTGTATACAAATGAAATAGTTAATATGCACATAAGAACATGACAGAGACTAAGGTTACCTTGGTATTAAAACCCATGGCATTCTGGGAGGTTTTGTAGAGCTCAGGGTATTTTAGCATGTTCTCTTTCCTGCAGGAGCGCTCAAATATTCCCAGAGTGAGAGGAGGCAGAGCGGTGAAGATCTGGAGGAGAAAAAAATCCATGCAAATATCAGATTCATTCAGATGATTTAAAGTGATGACATTAATAGGGACGCTTCCAACAAATGAAGCAAACATGAACGATTCATGTAAAGAGCTAAACCTCCAAAGTAAAAATATTAAAATTACTGTCCTCTAGAATTTGGCGGTCTTGGTCATTCCCGCTGCCAAATGTACAGTGGATATAAACTGAACTGCTCCTGTCTTAAAATTTTTTAAAAAAAGGATGAAAATATGGATTTCTTTTCAAACTGAGAACAAATAATCGTTTGAGACAACAAATCTTGCACTTTGCAAACTTATGGTAGATCTATGGCTTTAGTATAGCCACCATCTCCGTATGTTACTTGAAGAAAACTTTGCTCCATTCTTTATTTTACATCACTAAAAACCATTAACCTTAAAAGATTTAAGGGTGTTTTATTTTTGATATTTCACGCATGTTCACATCTGTGATGCTCTTCACTAAAAACTAGGTATTTACGCCTGCTAACGTGTAATTTCCTAGTGGTGTCGTAATGTTGTTCTGCGTAGCAGCTGCTGAGAGAGGTGTGATGGTGTTGTGTGGCTGGGAGGGCTCAGCAGGCCAGTCGGTTTGTGAGACAGTTCCCTGCAGGCCCATCTGGAGTGGGAGTCTGAGGCTTCAGGATCAGTGGGCCACAGGGCATGCTCCACTGGGCTCCCTTCTTATTCAGAGCCAGGACGATCTCTATTGAACGGCAGATTCAGCCCACTGCCTCTGACAGACTCCCACAGAGTCAGGAATTCCTCCAGTTTCTGGATAAAATGAAAGACTGAACCCTCTTCCCATCCCCCAGAAAAGTACTGGTTCTAAGGGGTGGTGGTTTATTATGCAATTATGCAATTAATACAAGAATAAAAACTGTGGAAACATCTTTCTCACTTGACAGCTTGTCCCTCCCATAAATTACATCCATTTGAGGGCGATCAAGAATGTGTGGAAATTTTACTTCACACTTCTCTCATTCATTTTTGTTTATTGAATTGAGTTGATTTTAATAAACAGTTTAAAGTTACATGTCAACTCCGTGTGGACTTAGCAGCATGGTATAACTTGCAGATGCATACTTTTCTCTTCAACTGAATTCATGGCAGGTTTGAAATATGAGTTCATTAGGAGTGGTCCCATTATAAACCCCAGTGGGACTCCCTACATCAGCAGCCAGCTCCGTTACTGTTCCAGTCTTCCTATTCTTTTATCGTTCAAACGTAGCTGCACTTGCTAACTACACTCTTCAGGTATAATAAAGCTGTTGTTCATTCACATTCAGGACATAGTTTAGGCCACAAAGGGAATATGGATTTGACAGCAGGTCATAAATAAAGGTGAAAATTTTCAGAATGTTAATGACATAGCCACACAATAAAGGAATCAGGTTGGGGCACCATGACAAATCAGTTTTGTGTCACTGGGGTAAAGGACTAAAGTGGGCTCTTTAGAGGGTAAATGTTATTAACACTCACCACGTTGTACAAGCCGATGCACCAGCGTTCAAACAGAATCTGACCTGAGAAGCCATTGACAAAAGCAAACCAGATCTAAGGGGGAAAAAATTACACAAAGAACAGGTAAGAATAGTAAAAAATAAAAAACAAAACAAAACAAAAGATACAAAGCATTGAAATATAATGATATAACACAGTTTTTCTGTAGGTGTTAATCAATTTAAAATACAAGCATAAAAGATACTCCCTTTAACATTACTATTTTAATCAGGTACCCACTTAGTCGTGAGTTTGAAACTGTTGGCTTCACTCAAACAAGATGATGAAAACTACTAAATCTCTGCAGTCTTTCTAATCACCCTTTCTGTATAGTCTTTCCATTAGTAATAGTGAGAGTGAGTGTTTACCATTATCAGATCTGACACAGACTCAATATGTCTACAAACTAACAATCAGTTTGTCATCACACTACATTCTTCACTGCGTAATGACAACAGACACCTCAGATTAAGACTGCAAGATCCATCATGAGTATGAACAGATCATTGACAGAAAAGGCTTCTGCTAATTCATCTGTAAAATTACTGCAACTCCCGTTCAGGGAGTAAAACAGGAAAGTAAAGAAAAAAATAAACGTTTCCTGCCAACTTAACTCAATGATCCTAAAGCTCACATGGGTTTGTTTGCAGTGCTGACCTGTGATCAGCATGTCATTAGTCTAACTTAGTCAGATTTAAAACACAGGAAAGGAAGAGGGGCCAAACAGGGTGAATTTTTTTTAAAAAAGTGAACGTGGGAAAGCCAAGACCTCCAGATATCATTTCTGTGATACAAATTGTCCCCTGGGTTCTTCACAGGATTCCCTACAAACATATATCAAGCCTACTGGTTCCCTTCATGATCTACTTGAAGACATGCGGGTGACAACCGAGGTTAGTTATTGTGGCAGAGTCAGGACTATGGGACTCTGAATAATGCTGACATTGACATATTGTGTCAGGAAAAGGAGGTAATGTAAACCATATGCTGGTGGAGATTGATTTGATTAGTCATACTTATCTGAACAAAACTGAGATCAGGACAGTTTGAATATGTGAGTAACAGATACAATATCTAGTAGGAAAAATGGCACAAGTGAATTTTTTGTTGTTATAAAGCAAATTTTCTGACAAATACTCAAGGAAACCTGCACGTACAATTTGAAAACTGCTTCCATACTGACAGAGAATCAGACATTGCGCCTCAGTGTTTCAGTTTGACATTTCAAGGTTTAGAATGAGCTGCTGATTGTGCCAAATCTGCCAAGGCAACATCAGGGATGCCGTGTGGCCATGGCTAAAATTTATTCTCAGATTGAGGGCCCCATTTGCTCCCCCCGCCACACCAATCTACCAACCATGCCTATAACACTGTACCTGAGGTGTAATATGGTTTGTTCACACTGAAGGAGTTTAGGTCATTGATCTTTGTGCTCAGTCATGTACATTAATGAAACAGTCTGTTCTGAGACATCTTTCAGAGCATGAAGGCCCCTTTTTTATTTTTTCCCCTTGCAAAGTGCACTTGACTAGCACAGCATTAGTTGACCACATGGCTCTGTATCCATAAAACAGTACAGTACATCTGTTGGACGTGCAAGAACAGCAGTTAGTGTTTCAGGTTTTGGCTTGCTTAGAAATACATTTAGAAGAAGCCCAAGCCATGAGGCAAGTTCACCCATTAGCAAGTAATGGTAACGAGAGGCTAGCGAGTAGGTCAAACTGCTGAATTAATTTCAGCTGCTCAATGAGAGGCTCTGGGCTGATATATTGTTGTGCTAAGTTATAAAAGGCTCCTATTCATAGCATGTGGTAACTGCTTCTGTGCGAGTGTTTTGGCCTGGTCCTTGGGGTCCCAATAGCCTCTCTCTTTCTCCCTCTCCCATCTCTTGAGGGACAGATGCATTGATTTGCTCATTAGGGGAAGTACCAGGCAGGATTTTTCTTCCCCTTTTCTTCTCCTCATTGAGGGCCACTCAGCGGAGGGGCGTGGCTGGCCTCTCTCCCTGACTGCACATCATGAAAAACAGTAAAAGAGGGAAACGAGAGGTGAGAAAAGGGGGATTGGGCAGCCCCCAGCCAATAAGAAGACTTGTTGCATATTCATCATTGAATCAAAAATCATTGATTCACAGACTGCTCCACGGCTCTGTAGGCCTTGTCTAGAAGTAGCTATGGGCTGGAGGGGGTGGGTGGGGGGGCATGACATTTGTCATCACCAATGTGAGAACTGATAATCTCTTAAGTTTAGTACTGCAGAACTGCTAATGAAATTCAGACAAAGCAAGTAAAGAATAAAGAGACGATACAAAGAAGGAGCTGATAAATATGCTGGAAATATGTGGAGCCACACACAAGCTGTATTACAATGCCAGGCACGACCTCTGTGGTTTAATTCACAGCGCTACTGGTCGGCCAGCTTTGCTCTGCAACTCTCAGGCTTCCTTAACTACACTGAGCCACAGTCAATGAGCTTTCATGTAATTGCCTCATAAATAACACTTGTCCATCAAGCCCCTTGGTAGCACCCTGGAAATGTGTCAATCAAACATGAGTGGCCAGCTGGATCGCCCATTTGAACTGAGTTGCTAAGGCTTTTTTTAGCAAATGGTCTCTTAGCTTGAATGTGGTTGAATCCAGTGCTTTTCACTCCTATTCTTTGGTTAACAGTGAAATTTGTAACCAAGTCAAAGTTAGGTATTTTGCACAAACCTAAGCCACATTGATAAACATATCTGATTAATCACAGCTACTTTTTTAATTAGCTAGAAAGTCAAGCTGTGACTGTGCTTGAAATGCTCTCTAACTGATGAGCAGTAAGAATACCAACCATACTCAACAACTTTGTGAAAACCAGAAGAAACACTGTCAGTCAATCATCCACTGGAGTGACAACCCTAGTTTCTGACTGAAAAACTAACCCCAAGTGAATAACAGAAAATCTTGAATGACCACACAACTATTCCAAGAGCCTCGGACTAAGCTGAGCTCAAATTCACATGTTCCTCAATGGACACAGAATCCTTTACCCTCCTACTCCATGCCTCTTAAAAGGAACCAAAAACTCAGTGAAAGAGGAGGAGCTGGGGCCTAAACACAGAGCCCCCCCAGACCTGACATTCAAATTGTAACACACACTGTACAGGACAACGGGGCCACGAACAAAAAGTTAAAATTCCCGTCAACATCGCTGATTCTTTCCATGCAAGGCAGCCTGGAAGTCAACGAGAAAAACATGCAAGCACAAAAGTAAACCTATTAGTGCAACAAATGCAGCTTTTAGCCATACCCTGGGGTTGCTGGTGTGTTAGATGTCAGGGTCTTACAAAAGAGGGACATTTAAAATATTGAAGCAGCCAAACAGTGAAGAAATGTCCAATTATCTACTTCAATCCCCTGAAGGAGCGTAGCACGGGGGGAGGGGGAGTTATGTTTTCACAGAGCAACAAAAGATGTGCTGAAAAGAAGTTCGCCCTGCAGAGAGAGCAATAGATGTTATGTTCCACTTGTAGGAAAAGACCTGCTTTGAAAAGAGACCTGGCATGTTTTAAAGAGGAGCTGCAGTTGGACACAGAAAGATCGGATAAACAATGTTAAGAGGAATTTTGACCAGGTTCTGATGAGATAGTAGCATGTGGGTCCACTTAGAATACCCAGGAAAGGCAGAGTAAAAATGAGAGTAAAAGACACATCTGTGCCACATCTTTTGGACTGAAAAAGTACATTCTGAGTGAAACCCTGAAAAAATTACCCACTGAAAACACACAAATGACAAAAATTCTGCATTCACGCACAAATGAAATGTCATATCTAATGTTTTAAACTACTAAAAATTGAATTATCTTCAAACTGAATTTTATTTTGAACTTGGATATGTAACTTGTATTTATCTCATTTGAGAAAAGGCAGCATGATTAAACAGCTGAGTGCTGCGGTCACAATAAGCACGAAGCAGACATGCTGGAATGTCAAAAGGTAGTCTACTGATTTTCCATGGCACATAAATGAGAATGATGATGGAAAAGCAGATCAGAGGTCAAGTACGTCAGAGAAAGGGGATGTACAAAAAAAGAATTTTAAAGTGTTCATATTTCCCTGACAGGTTCTGTGATGAATAATACTTTAAAAATGTGGCTGGTCCTTGGCGCTGCAGAGTTTGACCAGGGAGCATTCACTGTGTTTGTCTCTCTTTGACAAAGCAAAGACAAAGGAACAGTGTAAATCTTTTGCTCTCTATGGGTATTGAACCCCCCCCCCCCAGGAAGTGTGGAGAGTGGGGAAAACAGTTTCTTAAGTGCTTATGTAATTTTTTTAAAAACTTTTTTTTCCACACTGGGCAAAATAGTTCCTTCCTAACTTACTTTCTAGGTACTGGAGTAACGCACTGGCATTCAACCTTCCTTTAAGAGCAGGACTGGTACTTATGAACACATGGCTCCAAATTTGCAAGGTAAGTAGCCTACATACAGTATAGTACAGTACAAACGTCCTCACATGTAGTGTGGGATACAGTGTGATCAAACACTCAGCAGTGACTTCAGATGAAGAGACACTGAGAAGATACAAATCCAAAGTTGTTGCTTCTGTCAGACAAGTGGATGGAGTGATCAAAACATCTGAGCACTCCCTGTGATAAAGCTGCTGCTGATAGGAAGCACTTAACCTGTCTGGTCAGTCTTGGTTATAAGCTCTGAACCTGCAATCAGTACTAGGTCTGGTATCTGTCAAATGCCTTCAAACCCACCGCACACCAACAGACCAGTGCAGGAAGCAGCGTGTGTGCGAACCTTCCCAAACATCATCTATTGATGTACAAGGAGAGTTGGGGCTGGGTGGCTATGAACAACATTCAGTATTCATTATTTAGTTTCCATCACAAGCAGTATAATGTGACTTTAATAATTATAGGCCTAAGGACAAATTCAATGTTATTGTCTCTCCATTTAAATTAATCTTGACAAAACTTTTCTCTGTAAATATGGCAATTCTCAGTTTTTACACATCTGAATCAATTAATTTGCCAAAACCTGTCAAATTGTGAGATATAAACACTTTGGAACATTTGCTTTTTAAAAAGATGATCTAGCAAAACAAATGAAAACCAACTGAAGGGAGCAATCAGGAGATAACGTCTGTGATCGTCAATATTTTAGGAACAGTTAAATACTGATACTGAGATAAGGCTTGATAATTACATCAGTCCGCTGTAGACAATCATTCTGGTTTTTATTTTTAGTGTGTCAATGTATAAAATGGTAAAAATTAATATCGTGTAATCCTAGAGCAAAAAAGAAATGGGAAACATCACTACTGAACTGTGTTGATTGTTCTAAGGAGCCAATAACTGGCATGGATTTCATAAAGACAGAGTTTCACTTAAATTGGGATAGTTTTCCCTTCATTACTGTGTGCGTGTACCTATCGGTGCATCCCCCTGCCCAGGTATGTCAAGACTTAAACCTTTCATGCAGGAATCACACAAACCAGCAGGTAGTTATGCTGCGTTTCCACTATCGGAACTTGGCGAGTTGTATACCTCGTACTTCCCTTAACCATCACCAAGCATAGCCTCCAGAGTTGACGCAGAACATCCTGCTTTGTTTTTCCACTGTATTTTCTCTGTGCCAGTCTGTTTAGAGGAGGGAAGGGCTGCTCCCTTGTCACACACACAGTCAACTGTGTGTTTACACATGGTGCTTATAATGCTAATGCTTGAGGTGTGAACACTCAGACATTTAACTAATCACTGGCGACTGCTCTGCGCACACACACACCCCTTCACGTACCTGGTACTTGATTTTAGTACTACAGCCTGAGGGGTGCTGAAATTTAGTTCCCAGAACGAACCTCTAAAGCAGACACATCGTAGTGGAAACAAAACAGAACCCGTGATGAGCGTCACTCAGCGCAACGTATTTCGGTAGGTTCCTTAATGGAAAAACCCCTTACATGGCCAGTCAACAGAAATGGAACCTGGAAAGTCTAACAAGGGAGCTTTGCTTTTACACAATCAAGTCTTGAGGAAAAATCTCAAAGCTCTGCATTCAGATCTGGTTCACTGCATAACTTTCATCATCAGTAGAGAGTCACTGCGTGAGAGTTACCTCAATGATGTAGAGGACGATATTCTTGTAGAAGCAGTACAGGATACACTTGGCTACGCGGTTGTAATTCCAGGCTCCATGGACAAGCAGCAGATTCTTCAAGTATTTGAACTGTGTGGGAGGGAAGTAAATGGAGGAAATCATCAAGACAGATGAATAGCAGAAGTCTGAGTATTGTACATTTTCCACTGGTTTCTCATAATTAGAGATCAGCAATAGAACACTAAAGCAGTTACAGGAACTTGAAGATTAAAGTGAACAGGAGTCTTTTGTTATCCCCCAGCAAAGTGAGTTATAAGACTGATGAGGCATTGCAGCCAAAGATCTCACAAACACATTCCAGAAATGTCTAGTCAAATATTATAAGACCAAACTTATAGCTCATATAGAGATATTGGTCTCAGCATAATAGTTAAATGGCTTCATAAGTATACTGCCATTTACGGCCTATAGTGAGCAGAGTAGAAGACAGGAGGAGTAAAATTAAACTTACATTATTGAGAGAAACATAATTATGTTTATTTGAAAGTCTTGCTTGTCTTTCAATAGCACTGCAGTATTCCTTAGTGACATAAAAGCACAGTGGTTGCCCCCAGTTTGTCTGACCCCTCGAATGGTTGGATCACACATCAGTTAACACAGACTTGAGCCGATGACAGATGAACAGCAGAGGTGCCTCGTCCCAAAGCCTCCTTCAATCTCCACTTACTTCAATAGATAAGTCTGAGCTTTCAAGCATTAAATCTTAAAAACTAGTAGCTGCCTAATCACCTACAACAGGAAGGAGCTCATCTGATACGCTAGAACATTAATGTAAATATCTTTCCTGGAACGTAAAAACAAGATATACAACTTCCTAGGATTGATTTCACATTGCAGTCTGCAAATTACAGTTAATGTACCGTTACACTAAAATATGGAAAATACCACTGGAAAGTCTGGAAGTATAATTTAATTTGATATGGGACACAACCTAAATGTTATAAGGGGCCACCTGTCTTTGAAAGACATTTGGTTTCTACATGTCGTGTGAACTGAAGGGGGCACTTAAGACAAACCCAAATCTCTTGAATGGAAACTGCATACTGCAGTACAGAGAGTGTACTGTGTTCCAGTCAACTATTGGTTTCCTATACTCTCAAGCCCCGTGGCTGTAACAGAAACATGATGTTCTGTATGCCATGCTGTGTAGACAAAAAACCATACTCCAGGAACTCTGCAGCTTTTGTGTCCTACCAGTATTGCATTGCAAAACAAAGATTCAAACAAACTGGTTGCTAGGACATAAGTATGTATTTATGTAGCGTTTTGCTGGGATCTGTTTCTGAATAGTTCTCTTAGGAGTTGGGTGTCAGCTGATGCCTGTTTTACAGGTGTTCTACTTCCCTTTACAAGCTAATGCCCCGGTTGACATAAGATCTTTTGTTATTAAGAACAATGCACCAAGCTATCAGTAACACATATTACACTTGAGAAGACAATGAGAGGACTGACAGCTTATAGAATCTGACTTAACCAAAAGACAGAAATGGGCATGGGTATCAGAGGATTGCAGCTAACCTGAGTGCATGCACCTGCAGCTTCACAGTAAGCATACAGTATTCTCATCAAGTGAAAACCACATTTTAAACACAAAAGCAAAAAAAAAAAAAAATTGTTGACATTATATACATACTTTAGCTTAGGTGAAATTTTACAAATCTTGATTTTACATAATTTAATTGTTTTGCTTAAGTCTTGAGAATTGTCTTCTGTTAATATAGTTTGAATATTATTTGCTGTCAATCAAACTGTGAGACTTGCGTGTACTGGCATTACTTTCTCTAGCACTCTCTGACATTTCCAACTATAAATATGAAAACCTCATACTTCAATCAAAGTGTTGTTTTGTGTTCACTTCTTATAGGCCCCTGCCTTCCTGCTCACCTAATGTTATGCAAAGCTGTCAAAGTTCACACTTCAAATATGAAAACCTCATACTTCAACCAAAGTGTTGTTTTGTGTTCACTTGGTATAGGCCCCTGCCTTCCTGCTCACCTGGGCAATAGAGTAGTCAGAGGAGTTTGCTGCCTGAAGGCCCTCGTTGCCAGAGACTCCCACACCAACATGGGCTGTCTGGATCATTCCCACATCATTAGCGCCGTCACCAATTGCCAGCGTGATCACTTTAACCTGTTTCTTTACCATCTCCACCACCTCTGATTTCTGAAGAGGAGATACTCTAAAATGGGGCAGAAGCATATGGAATATTATATAGAGGAAATGTAATGAAAGCAGAAACAGGAATTGCGTTAATCAATGTGTGCAGTTAATGAGGAGAAATCCGTCTTGGTGAAACTGGTGCTACAGCAGTGAGTAATGCAGTACAGTGTACATGGGAAAGGACGAGGCAAGACATACATATACAGTACATTATTATGGAGAGTAGACGCAAGATATGTATCACTCAAGAATGCACCTTCTGGGAAGTTCTATTTCCTACTGCTCAAGTATTGGACAGAATAACTGGGGAGCGCATAAAATAATATCAATTCTAAAGAAGTTTTAAGATCAGCACTTTGCAAAGCCTGAAGCTCTTCTTTAACTTTGGAGAAGCATAAAGACAATCATACCAAACTATGTGAACACCCTAAAAAGAAAATTTGGGGCATTTTGTACCATCAAAAAAAAAAAAACACCCCAGAGAGCACTTGCAGAGATTGTATTTAATCCCCATCAGACATAACAGACACTGTTTAGTGGTGGGAAGCCAGTGAGGGATCAAGTCTCTTTTGCTGCACTAGTAAATGCTGCTGGTTGGATGAGGTGAAGCGAGGCCTGGGTGAAACCATGTCTATAGGGGGATTATTATGTCTGTTCCCTTGTAAGTTTTCATGTTTTTAGTCTTATAACACTAAACCAAAGTAGGTTTAATTGGCTTTTCTGACATTGCTTAAAAGGAAAAGGCCCTTTAATGTCAAAGTAAAAACAGATAAAGCTGATACTGATGAAACACAGGTAATTTCCATTTAGAAGAATCAGAATCAGCTTTACTGGCCAGGTGTGTCAGACACACGAGGAATTTGACTCTGGAACAGTTCAGCAGCTCTCAATGTGTACATACATGTCAACAAGCAAGGGAATGTGCATTAGGAAAGATAAAAAAAACAATAAATAAGAGTATAGTATTTATAAATAGAGACCTGTACTATACAGTTTATATATATATATATACATACTGGGTCCATTAAGTAAAGTTAATCATTAGGTGATATAACTCCTCCTTTAAAAAACTTCAAATTTGACTTTATGGCTCCTGTGACAGCAAAACTGGCAGCCTCCCACACAGGAGTCTGCTGTTTGTGCACTAAAATGGAGGTAGTGTACGTTATAGACAGTCTCCAGAGATGACAGTGTAACCTCCATATCCGTCTTTGGCTGTGAAACTGTTAATGTTTATGTTCTCTGCGGTTTAGGAGGCCTCATTCATCTCCTGGTGTCTCTTAACGCCCACAGAGTGCACACAAGGCAAAGGCAGGTAGAGGGAGGAGAAAAATAAATACAGATTTGATGTAACGCATGAGTCACAGCGTGGCACCTGAAGGTTGGCTGTTGTTCAGAAAGCATGGTGCTGATTTCTGGTCCCAGACCCCGCCGTGGTTGCTTGAGTACTTAAGCACTTCCTATTATTTTTGTGGCCTGCGCAGGTCAAAAGTGTACTTTGATAATGATGAAAGTTGCCTTGTAAATTTATAACTATCACACTTTTAAAACTTCTGCCATAAAAATCCTCAGTGACTTTTATGGCAACGATGTTATACTTTGTAGTTCAACCACAGAGCTTTTACTTTACCAAACATTACTTTTACAGCTCCGTCATGAGGACAGGCTGCTTTTCTCTGATTTATATCATCGTAAAATGAACATCGTTGGGGTTTAGACTGTTGAGCTAACAAAATAAGCAATGTGATAACATTAGATTGGGTTCTGGGATTGTGAGATGGGCAATTAATTTGTTGTTTCAAATGAATTCATAATTTCCTCATTGCACTATAAGGAGGTCAATGATGTCCAGTTATCACAGTTTAATAGTCTAAGTGCATCTTGTTTAGAAAAACTGATTACAAGGAAATTTGGTTGTCAGAAAAACCAAACAATATCAATGTGAAAAATTGATACATAATATGCAATTATTGATTTTCTACCTCTATGTTCTTTTTTGATCTACTACATTTAAACATACAATTGAAACCGACTGCGCCTTCTGAATAGTGTTCAGTAGTATTTTAACACAATTTAATTGGAATACTTTATTTTGTGTACCGTTTTTAAAGTGTACAAAAAGATTCAGAAGACAACAAAAACATTGTCTTCCTTCTTTCTTGGTCAGTGGACTGATTATTTTGGGTTTATTTTACTGTTTCATGGGTAATTCTTACCTGCAGCATATGACAGCTTTACAGGACAAGGCGAGGTCCAGAAAGTACTGTCGCACTCCAAATGTAAGGGCATATTTCAGAGTCTTCCCGTCAATAATGAGAGCAAAGTCATTCTCCTTGTATAGGGCATCTCCCAGCAGTCCACAGTGGTGGCTGAGCATTTCCCTTGTATTCTGTATGATGGAAAACATTAAGTAAATGTCAGTTTAATTAGTATAATGTCAAAACTATACTACAGTGTTAGAGGATATCTGCAGTTATACATTAGCTATATTTGATCTGGTTTGGGTTTTTTTAAAATGAAGGTTTCAAGAATCTACTGTACAAGCTGATTATAACTCAGTACAATTATTTAAGATGGTTTGTTTTTTCCAATAATTTTATTTTAAAAGCACAAGTAGATTTGTTAACAGCTCAAAAATATTAACAATAACACCATTAGTTACACAAGCAAAATGAATTAAGTGCACAAAACACCTAAAACAATAACAGATTAATAATGTTTGTAAACCAAAGTTTTTTTTATATGATTGAACAGTTCACTAAAGTGACAGTATAAGAAAATAATTTCAACAGAAACATTTCAGAGGAATGTGACAGATGGACAAACAGAATGATGCCAATGAACACAGTAAAACTCCCTCTACAATGTACATCTATAGCAAGACGTACAACAAAGGTCTTCCTTTGTCCATCCATCCATCCATCTTTGTCCGCTTTATCCGAGACAGGGTCGCGGGGGGTGTAGCCTGAGCAGAGCCTCCCAGACTTCCCTCTCCCCACACACCTCCTCTAGCTCCTTAGGAGGAGCCCCAAGGCATTCTCAGGCCAGCCGGGAGACATAGTCTCTCCAACGTGTCCTGGGTCTGCCCCGAGGCCTTCTCCCGGAGGGACATGCCCGGAATACCTCCCCTGGAACTGGCACCTTAACGTGGTGGAGGGGTCTGAGTGCCTGAATGATCCCAGGAGCTATGTTGTCGAGGGCTATATGTCCCTGGTAGGGTCTCTCATAGCAAACAGGTTCTGGGTGACAGACCAGACAGGGGGCGGTTCATAGGCCTCTTATGACGAGAAAAAAATCAAGGCTCAGGTTTACCACGCCCGGTATGGGGTCACCGGGGCCACACCCTGGTGGCCAGGCCTATACTCATGGGGCCTGGTTGGGCTTCGCCGGAAACCAAAACGTGGAGCCACTCTTCGGTGGGCCTGCCTCCTGTTAGAGAGGCCGCAGGGGGCCAGTGCACTGTGTTTTGGGCAGTGGCCAGGGCCGAGTGCCCGGCTGACCCAAACCTCGGACACCAACTCTGGTCTTCCTTTGTGTATATATTAATATATGTTCAAGAATGAAACATTTGAGCAGTGGTTACATAGATTTGCTTCCAAGTCACACTAAACACTCCACAGGAGCATTCATATTTCTTGACAGCTAAAGTTCCTTCATCTCAACTTAGAGATTATGGACCCTAATACTGATCTAGTCTATCATTTCTGTAAGTGTAAAACAGATCTGTCCACTGCTATTGCCAATCTCAAACTAATGCAGAACAGCTGCAACTGATATTTTGGATATTTATTATTTTTCACATGCTTCTTGCTGTCAGACCATGGATATGAGGTGAAAAAAGTTCAGTTCCAGTTCTGTGAATGGATCCTGTTTGCTTATACAATATACAGTATACAGCTATAATGATGAATGATGATGAAAGGCATAAATTTGAGACTGACAAGAGGATTAACTGTCTTGCATAGGGGCATGTGGATGGCATGGATGGAGTGGCAAGATCATCATTGCTTTCAGTATTCCACTATCTTCCCCACAGATTGGGATGCCATTAGGAAATAAAAAATATTTGCATGTACAGATCGCGTTTTCTGAGGGACAAGGATGTAAAATACACATATATTTTCATTAGACAGCGGAGCTCCTTCTCTAAAAGATTTAGACAGCTTCGCTGCTGTAAAGCACGTTATAGGAAATCTTTCCTGCCTTATTCCATTAATTTGTACAACACATCATCTTGGAGCATTAGACGATTCCTGGATTGACAGTAATTGTATACTGAATCAGCTTTGTATAGATTTGCATATGTTTGATTCATCATGTGATTATGTATATGTACTTGATTGTATTGGGTTTGTTTTTAACTTTTAATGTGTTTTTATTTGTTTTATATTTTTAGTGGGTTATCTATTCTATTTATTGGTATGTGTGCTTGATATTGAGTGTGAACCGCTGCTGAAACAATGCAATTTCCCAGATTGAGATTAATAAAGTATTTCTATCTATCTATCTATCTATCTATTAAAAAAGTAAAAATACATTAAAATCACCTGGTATCAAAAGTCAGAAAACATAAGAGAAGCATATCTTTGCAATATCTACCTAAATGCACCTAGACAATACTGTATATAATGGTGTGGTATTATAAACAGTAACAGTCAGCTGCCTGCCAGTGGTGGATTAGTGGAGATCCCACTTTTTTTTTTTTTTTTTTTTAAATGCTAAATATGTTAAGTTGAATTTGGGTCTATGTCCAGAAACGTGCATAAGGAATCCATATTATTTCCATTTTACATAATGATGTGCCTGGTTTGAATATTTCAATCAGTGTATGAACATATCTTTAATGACGTTCAAACAAGTTGATACATAATATACACAATATATGTGACATTATTGGATAATGTTTTAAAAAAGTTAGTTTTCTAAACTTAAACTAATCCAACAGGATGAAAAAAGGTAAGGGGTTCAAATGACTTTAAATAAACAGATACAATGCAGAGTATAAAAACCTAATGTGCCAAGCAGATGCTCAAACAGCTGCAGTCACTGAAAAACAGTGGTCATTAACCGGACTGGGGAGGGAGGGGTCCGGCCTTGTGTCGAGGTCAGATATGTCAAAGCAGTCAGATTGTACCGGGGGATCGCACAACATTTGCTTGGCATAACAAAACTCTGAAACCTCAGCTTAAAGGAAATATTTGGAGAGAGGGGCTTTAAGTTTCACAAAGTGAGAGAAGGAGAGTGAGAGACATGCAGAGATGATGGATTAACAGACAAGAGACTCTGAGCAAGAAGACAGAAGCAGAAAGCAGCTGTGAGGACTTAGCCATCCCTGAAGGGGCCTATAAAACAGTGCAAGATAGTGAGTAGGAAAAGGCTGGAATATCCACATTCAACCACAGAGCCACCAATGAAAGCTTCTCTATCTCAATTAACAGAGTGATTCTAGATGATATCTCAGTATGACTGCATGTCTGTTTTGTATAAGATGGTATAACACACTGTATGTATGAGAAAGAATTCATTTAGTTTGAGGCACAATCTATTAATCACATGCTGTGATAGGCACAGTTTACCATTTTCTCAAGTAGGACAGCCATTTCTCCCCGATTTCCACAGAGGAATTCTTGCACTAATGCTTCTTGTCTCCTCTTAAAGCCTCTTTGTTATGGCTATAATGGCCAGTTTAGCCTATGTGACTAGCTAGTGTTTGGTTCTGGAATGGTTATGTGGTGTCCATTCAGAAATACTCAATTGCTTCCTATAAAGACTGAGCTCGGTTGTTGATATAGGCCAACAGGACGTGACACTCATGATGTGGAATCTGGACATTTGTATGGATGTAATGTCATCATCTGTCTTTGACTTGGAGGCACCGAGTAAGGGGATGTTCCACCTTAGTAAGAAGTGTACAGACACAAACTTTTTGTTACTTTTCTGACCTACATCTCAAGTGTGAAACTACAGCAAGTTAGCTCTACCAATGATATTGCTCCAATCCAATTTCCACCTGTTTCATATTATTGATGTTTTAAATAATCAACAAAAAAACAATAATGTTCATATAGAAAACAATGAAAGTAATGAGCCCCATTTCTCTGTGGCTGGACTTTGTAAAGATGAATATACAAATGCCCAGTACTGTTAGCGCCATTTGTTCTCCAAATGATTAAACACACTGACCGGAAGACAAGGCTGGTCAAAACAACCTAATCCCACCCTGGAGACTGAATTTCATTTGGAGAATTTCAGTTCAACTAAGATTTAGTACAGGGGATGTGTAAACTTTTGTCTTCTCTTGATAACCATTTCTAAACACAGCAAAGAGAAAAGGCATGCTCCAGCTACTTTCTTTTGCAGCAGGCCCTGTGTTCGCTGGGCCTCCTCAGTCTTGAGAGGTTTCTCCCTTCGTGTTTTAGCAAACTGCCTTATGTAAGCATCTGCTCTACCACAGGAGAATAGGAGCTGACATTTCAAAGTATACGTTTGTGTGTTTCATGAATGCACCAACCCCAAATTTCTACCTCAACCCCATTTATCATACCTAACGACTGGCTGACAGAATGAAGGCCGTCCGTCATCGCCCCCAAACACCCCCCTGCTCTTTTCCCCTCCTTTATAGACTTCTTTTCACCATTTCCACCCTTCTTGTCTGACAAACTAAACCCATTTGAGTTTCTTCTCCATTTGTGGCCCCTCTGCTTAGCTCTCTCCTGTTGAAAATGCAGGGACTTGCCCTTTTCACTTTCAGAAACAACAGACAAGCCTCTCCTGCCAGGGGGTCAACAGACTACTCTGCTGGAAGTCTTAAAGATGCCGAAGGCAGATTTGAAAAGTGTGATGGCTGTGTGTGAGGAAGGCTCCCTGTGGCCCCATCCTGTCAGTTTTGAGAGAGGGACTGGGTGAGGAGATCAAGGAATTAATTTACTGAAGGACGACCTCATGCCACATTTTTTCACTTAAGATCAGTAACAAGAATTTGAAAACATTTCTTAGTAAATGTTTTAACTTGTTTTAGGTGGATACAAATTTTCCATGTTGACTCATAGAAACATATATAATAGGAACCAACACTGTTAATCAACTTAGTTTATGGTCTTGTATTCTGATTAAAATCTTCCATTATCATAAATGAATCTTATTTCTTACAATCAAATATTCCCCAAGAGTTATTATTAGTTGTCTTGGTTTCTGACGTTGATGTACCTCAGCCATAAATTTAGCAGCCACTGGCATAAAATCAGAGAGAACATGAGAATTACAATTAATGGGTAGCAGCTATATCTGGTCACACTGGATTAGACTGTGAATGGATTGTACATTTTTACTGATAAACTGTTTTGAAAAAGGTGTAAGATGCATACATGGCGCAAATGACAATTAGGTAACTTTTATTTTTATCTTGTAAAAGGACAAATTAAATTATGCTCTTAATAAAACATTGTGCAACAATGGGGGGGATTTGTGTGCTTTGGTTTGGTTGTTAGCTCAGTAATATTAAATACTCACATCAAGAGTTTCTTCATTGATCACAAGCATGCCCATGTTCTTGGTCAGTAGTTTGCAGGAATGTCCTACAGCAAAGGTAAACAAAAAAAGGAAGGGGGTGAAATTCTACATCTTAAAGGACAAATTTACTGTATTTGAAAAAAGTGGATCATTAGCAGAACATTACTACTCAGTTACCACATGACTGTGTAGTTTACTGTACTTTAGTTTCAATAACCCCTTTTAGTTCAGTGACAAGACATCTGCTTGGGGCCCAACATGCATGAGTGCACACACATGCACACACTTACTCAACTTCACGCTGCATCATTTTCATAAAATTTGAACTGCAAAGCCAGTGTGCTCCTGGTTTTCAGTCCCCATAAGTATAGAAAAATCTAATAAATAAAGGATGCTACAGGATGCAGCAAAACATTTTAAGGAATACCAATTAAGATGCTAGATCTCAGGACACTAAACTAATGAGTTTCCTTTTACAAGGGTTTGTCGGTTTCCTGTTTTAATAGGCAGTTACAACTCTGACCAACCCAACATGGCTCTGTGGGAGTGTTCCCCACAGCTTTTGGCTAGGACAGATGCTCAGGGTCACCAGCAAAGCGGTAGAGGGAGCCTCCCACTGGGGAAAAGAGAAATGTGCCTTGAACCAAGAATGAAGACTTCAGTTCAGTGCTGAGGATGTCTGAAAAGGCTGCCATCTGTGGCACAACCACATGAATATTTGTGGCCTTCAACACTTTGCTTCTGTCTGGAAAGGGATTTTAGTTTCTTTAAGGCGGTTACCGCAGAGCCCATTTGTTGTGAATACATGGGTGGCAGGTTCTGTGAGTGAAACCGAGATAAGATTATGAACAAAAAACACAAAAACACACAGTAAGAGTCAAACCCAATTATGCACACACACACACAAAAGGGGCTTTGCATGAGGAAATGAGTTGGTTTCACCTCCAGAGTCAAAACCAAACACGTTTATGGTCTGGGGTCTGGCAGACTGTTTTCTTAAGTACAAAGGTGCAAACGTCCAAAAATTGGCCAAGGTGTGGAAAATGTCTCCCCATTTCAACTGTCTAAACTCCCTTCCCCCTTGTCGGTTTCTGCCACAGCCCTTCCGTCTAATGTGTTTACATTAAGCAAATTTGCCTGTCAAACTGCCCTTTTTTGTTTCACCAGAGAAAATCAAATTACTGGCCTTTCTCCATCTCTGGTAGAACTAAACACTGTCCCCTCATGACCTAAGACATGTGTCTGTGACGCTCATGTCACAGAAATCTGGACTCATGTCTCCATATTTGTCACATAGAGGTCAAGCAGATAAGTGGTTGTGTTTATTCTTTTATTTGTCTCTGCTAATGCAAATGATGCACCCTCTGTGCTGTTTATGTGCTCTTAATCTGTGACGACCTTGCTAACGTGAGCAGTTTCCTAACAAGCTGACCAGCAGGCTCTTTCCATTTACTGAAAACTGGCTCTGACCTGTCCTAAGCATTACATACATACAACTCCCTTTAACAAACAGCTCACAGCACTAGGAGGGTGTCCCAGAGCACACACCGCTCTTTAATCAAGCAGCCAGACATGGTATCAGAGCAGGTACTATACATTATGTCATGATAGCTCAGGATTACGGATGCACTGAAACACGAAGTAGTTACAGCTTCGGATCAAACTGACTTGCCATGCTTCAAAAATCATAAATATGTAAAAATAAACATCAACTGCATTTAGGGCTAATATTCTGTGCCAAGAGTGACATTTGGGTGGTTCAAGTCACCTTGAAATGTAAAAAAAAAACAACCTCAATGTAATGCTGAATTTACCAGCCCAATGTGGCAAAAAGTGCACCATTAACCCTGGAAAAGGAGATCGCCTTTCAGTGAGGAAAATAGTAAAAAATAAAGTCAATATTTAGAGGAGATTTTACAGAGCAACTCTGTCAAATGACCTGTAAAAATACTTCCAATGAGCCTGCACTTCTGTGGAGCCTCCTCACATCTGGGTGCACTGGGCACAAAGGGCTGATTCAGTCAGGCCATAGTGGTACTGTAGGTATAACCACAAATGGAGGTACATTTCATATCTTTTATTTTTTTTTAACTCTGTGTTACCACGTTGGCTGCAGTCAAGGTGTGGCAAATAGCCACATCAGAGAGCTTTAATAGCAGGGTCATTTAAGGCATACAAATATAAACTGAGCTGGTGGACGAGAGTTAGTCATTCACCTTTCTGATAACATCTGCAAAGCTAAAGCCCAGACACGCGAGAGGTGCCTACTTGTGTACATAAGCATTTTATTTGTTTCACGTCAGTGCAGTGTGCTCATACATCATCTTGAATTCTGTGACAGATGTTTTCGCAAGATATGTACGATAGAAAAGCACTCAGCTTGTCAGTAGTTTGTCTTGTTTGGTGAAAGATGACCACAGGATTGACTGGAATACTTGTCACACAATACTTATCACACCACATAACCACATGAGTGTCCAAGCTGTGTGCACATCCATCTCTCTCTCGCTTTCTTTCCCCTTCATTACCACATTACCCCTTAAAATTCCTCTGTGTGATCTCATGGAGGCCTGTCTGCTGGTCCCAGCTCCACAAGTCTAACTGTATTACTAGCCTGCATCAAACCTCAAAATAGGATTTATTTAAACAATATGGATAACAGGGAAGCAATGTGTGTGTTGAAACTGCACTTAAAGTGGAAGATGCAGATTAATGCCTCCAGGTCAGCAACACACTGAATACCAACTATCAGGGTGTGGTGACTTTTGACCTCTATGTGAAAGAAAGCATATTCAAATCAAATGCTCCTCTGCAGGTTACTTAAAATTTGTATCATTGTTGGTATTACTACCAATGATGTTGACAACAGCGTGACATCAAAGCGAATACCATATCTTACTGTCTCGGAGTCTTACCGATATTGATGGCTGTTTCCTGTTTGTCTCCGGTCAGGATCCAAATCTTGATATCAGCTTTCATCAGTGTCTCGATGGTCTCAGGCACCTTATCTTGGAGCTTGTCCTCTATTGCTGTGGCCCCCAGGAGCTGCAGGTTCTACATTAAAAAAAAAAAAAAAACACAGTCAGTAAAAAGTCAGTAAGTGGTGATCATAACAAAGGAAGGCCTTTAAAACATAACGTGTCAGTGAAACGTGTCGGGATTGTATCACTCACACAGTTTTGTTTTTTCCTCACATCAGCTGCTCTTGTTTATTACCCAGAAAAACCATCACAGACTTGCATACGTATGTGTCTGTGTGTGTGTGTGTGTGTGTGCGCGCATCTGTGGACACAAACTCTCACACAAGCACACCCACAAAATACTGTTGGTGTTTTCCCAGGAAACTTGGTGGTTCACTGGGGCTGATTGCAGGCTCATATGGGCCCAACAAAGGGCCAAAGATTTGACAAGACCCAGGAGTAGACAGGAGACAGGAGCCAGCAGCAGAGGAAAGGCAGGGGAAGCTCTTTAGGTTTTGACCTGGGCCCTGCTGCCTGTGGGTCTGTAGCTCTGTCCTCAGTAATTATTGGGAACCACACAGTACAGACAAATGTGCCCGGGGAAAAACATTACTAGATCTAATGAGTCCTCATTTGTCTTTTTGATGTGAATTGTTCTGCTGTTATTGTGGTAGCTGTTAAAAGGCCTTGTTGTGGATTATGATACAAGAATCACTTGGATCAGATTTCAACCTCCAAGCCAGGGTGGATTCTGTATGCTGGGTTCACCTAAATTTAAGAGGTTGTATTTGTGGCTCAGTGTCTATGTAGAACCAAGAGTGTGGCTGCTACAACTCTAAATTAAATCCTGAATCTGTTCCTATTGCACAAGAAGAGAGGTTACTTTGCAAACTGAGGCTGCAGTGGAGGAGACCACAACATTGGCAGTCTGCAGATCTGTTGCATTTTCTAATAGTCATCCTGGAAAATTCAGGCAGTTACTGGCAGACGCTGAGCTAAAGTGCAAGTAGACCAGAAATAATCGATTTAAGCTTAAACAAGTTAGTAAAGTTGATGAGAAACAGTTAAGTGTATTTTTACATTACAGTAAATATAAGCCATCAATTATAATTACAAATAATAATCAGCTGAAGAATTAGGTCTTAAAGTGGTTTTCAATATAGAATGTAATAAAGAACTGAAGTTGCATTTTAAAGATTTTAATCGTTAACTAGTTACTTTCAAGAGTGAATAATCTGTACTTTATCACTCTTTAACACTTTCTTAAATAATTAGCAATCTCACTTGAGGATTTTCTTTGAGTGATGATGTGAAGCAGTAACTTTAGATGACTGATTTCACAAAGCTGGAATGCGTTATTGTCACACCAAATCCATTGTTCCCCTATGTGGTGATACTGTCTGCATTGTAATGATGGATGGCCCAGAGAAGCAATGAGCCCCAAACCCTGGCAGCATCAATGCCACACTGCCCATTAAGCAAAGCACATTAGATTTCCCCCTCTCAATGCTTTTATTTTTATTTCATGATTGATTTCTTCCATTTGTTTTGGGCAGCCACTAGCAGAACATTTACGACTGTGGTTTCCTGTTTTTGACAAGCATCTCCACATAGAGCCACTGCACAGAAACCCAATCCTACCTGCAGGCCAAACCTAGAATCTCTTTCACAGAAATACACACACAAATATACAGTAGCCTTTGAGATTCCCAGGTGTGATTACTGTATGGTATAGCCAAAAAAAGGCTTTCAGATCAGCCTTACTTTGCCACACAGAAGACTAGCTAATACAAATGTTGTGCATGTAGTAAAGGCAGCATGCAGCAAGGTTAATACAGTAAAAAGTGCACTTGCCAAACTCACTGCATTCCACAGTGAAATGTTGTTTTCACTTAACAAACCTTCTCTATAAGTTCATAGCTCTCCTCCTGTTTTAGGGCTCTGTTCTGCAGGGAGGTGCAGGCTCTGTGGTGGATTTCCAGCCACTGCTCATAGGATGATTCACTGATGTCTGCCACCGCAAAGCACAACGTACGCAGCCCTGGAAGAGGAAACAGTATTACAACACCTGGGTCAAATGTCATCATTTCTAACTATTTCCTAACTACTGTCCTTGATTTGCAGATTACATTGAGCTCTCTAGTAGTCAAATTAATACTACTACATATATAAGAAGCAATAACACAATAACTTAAAATTATTCTATTGTTTCTTAAGATTTTCTGTACATTTCTAACCAGTGTCTAAGTCCTGATCTTCTGGAAGAACTGGCTGGGTGGTTGCCCTGTGAAACACATCAGCTAACCACGATGTGTATTATCATGATGTTATACATATTTATTATGTGTTATACATCCGTTTTAAAGGACACAATTTTATTCTATTGTTTAGGGCCCCTTTTTTAACATCTGTCCAGGTGCAAGTGATAGCAGTTAGCTGTGTATGTATTTGTTGTTTTTTGTGTCAGTGAGCATGATTCCTGTCAAATTAAGTACCAACCACCACAAAATAGGAATCCAAGACATGAAATCATTTCTTTCCCCAACAGCCAATTTTTCCTGATAATATGCAAATACAGCAAACCCAATCCATAGGCACTAACTTTATATATGTCTTGTAATCAAAGTCAGTTAAATACAACTACTGATACTGTCTGACCATCCATATAACACCTGTGCACTGTACAGGTACCACTGATTTTGTTTGCAGTTCTTGTTAACATAAATCTGTTACGAGTCTAAATTGAATTTAAACCTACAAATAATCTCTGACATAGATAACATGCAGCCATAACATTTAAAAAAAAGACCAACCAAAGTTATTCATTGTTACTCTTCTTGTCAGGAAGCTAAATAAAGTTTTTATAATTAGGCCTCTCCAAGTTACAGTGACTGAAGATCTTCCTAATTTGTCCTGAATGCTATATTTAGCCTATATCAACTATTCACAATGACATCATTTTTCTGGCGTCTCACAAGGGGGCAGTATGAGCACAGAACAAAAAGGAGAATGTCTGATGCAGTTTCTTGCAGCCTGCCTGAGGTTAATACTTCTTCAGTATACTTACATGTGCATCAGCTGTTATATTAAATAATGACATGTGAGAGAGCACATTTTAAAGGGGAAAAACTTCTGCTGCAACTGATGATCACATAGTGGTAATGACCAGAGAGAAATGAGAGAAGCACTGATATCATATTAAAAAATATTTTATTTTTTGGCAGACAGGGGGCAGTGTTTGTCCACTTACCTTCAGTGGCAAACTGTTCCAGGTGCTTCAGTGTGATCTCTTTGTACTTAGAGCTGTCTGCCAGACGGTCATAAATCACTGTGTCCTGAAAGGCAACAAACACTCACTGGTTACTGACACCCAGAGAGAAAAGAAAGAACCCTCCTGGACTTGGTGAACTGGAAAACAAGCATTCTCAAGTTGGGTCCAGTGCCTATGGTTTACACACACTGTTTCTACTCATACTTGCCCAATGGCCCCCAAGCTATTTGTACAGACATCATCATATGCTTAAAAAGCAATTAAAGGGGAATGAGTTAATACATGACAAATGTAGGTGATTCCTTAGTTTACTGGCTAAACTACTGTTTCAATAACAATCAATTTAAAATATTAGCATTAAAAATAAACTACTAATTACTTTTTGAGCCTTTAGAAAATGTTCTTTTTGATATTATCACAAAGTTAATACTGTGTCAAAATTAAAATATAAGCAGGTAAATAAGTCCCAAACCATAAGCCTGGTGAATCAAGAGAAAAGGAAAACAGAAAAATCTGAAATTCTTTATAATCTACTTAACACAATTGGACAATAAAACAAAAAACCTATATAGACTGATAACTATCATTGTTTTAAACGGCCTCTAACCTCATGCTTTGATAGACCTGACAAGAATAAAGAGCAAAATGTTCCCCAGTCAATTAAACTGCACCAAAAACATTATTTTCTTTTAAATATATAATGTTGCATTCATCCAGCAGAGCCCTAGATACTTCTGGAGCTGTGAATAGAGGGTAGTCTGGTAGTTCCAATTAGCATTGCCTTCAAGTGAAACATAGCGTTTGTCTATCCATTATTTTGCTGAGATATCCATGTGTGAAATGTGGTGATCTTGCTTTATGATGCTGTTCATTGAAAATATTCCCTAAACAGAGTGAGAGACTATAAGAAGAGGAGAGCGTTCAACAACTGTGTGTGTGGCGATGATGGTGATGGGCTGTCATGTGTTGCCATGGAGAGAGACAGGCACTCACAGCTCCTTTGCAGTAGAGGCGGATCTTTCCAGATGGAGTGCGCATGATGACAGACATCCTTTTACGTGCACTGAGAGAGAAAGCCAACAGAAAGATAGTGAGAGAAAGAATAAGGTGAGATAAGGACAGAAAGCAAGGCGTTTATAGCTGCTATAGCAAATTAACACGTACAGTCTGAGCTAGCTGAAATTAGAAATCAAAGGGAAGGAAACAAGATATCACACCTATTGTCAGGCAGGTAATTATTACAAATCATCAGGGTAAGAGAAAGTTAATAAACTCTGACGACATATGTTGAGGATCATACAGCAAATACAATGAGTCATTAACACATATGGCCTATATGGAAACAAATCACAGCATGCGACAACTGTACATATAATAACCTCTATATACACTGTATAATAATGAAGCTATCAAAGTCGTACCTGGTAAACTCCAGTACATGAAGTAGTTCGTACTTCTCCTCTGTTCCAAGCTAAATCCAAAGAGACAGATGGGTTACAATACCCCAGAAGAAGATGCCCCAACCTCAGTCTTTTTATGAGACACCTCGTCTTAAATAGGACAAACTATCCCTACTCCAATCAGCCTTAACTGCACTTTAAATGTGTTTATCAGTTGCCTGCGCTGAGCTGACGGAGAGAGTAACAAGGTAAAATTCAATTAACTTCCTTAATTGTAGAGACTGCTCGGTACACGCCAGAGTGATTAAAATTGATAATAGGAGCTTTAGAAGGCTTAACACAAGTTAGAACACTTCACAAACATCTTGGAGACAAGATGTTCTCAGCAGAAGAAAAAAAAAATGCAAATAGTTCTAGATTTTCTGCCTGTGCCTCTGAGCGCAATCATCATGTCAGCCAATTAAGGGAGCAACAAGATGGGTGACCTGAGCTTTGGAGAGGACACACTCTATTGGCTCAGGATATAGTCACAGCAGATGTGGTCTTTGCTGTTTTCAGTTACTGAACCATGTGAATAGAAAAGGGTGAGTTCTCTTTGGTATTATGCTTATTAGTTTTAGCTCCAGGTCTGTTGTGGCACATCTGAGCAAAATAACAAAAATAGTGAATTAATTAGTAAACTTACAGCACAGACTGTAGAGAAACAACAACAACTTCATGGAAAAAAAATAGACAGGGATAGACAGTGGAGTTGAAGAAATAGTTTGGGGGAAATACACTTATTCATTTTATTTCTAAGAGTTACATGAGAAGATTGTTAGCACTCTCTTATAGCAGAAATGTTGATGGCACCGGAGGATGGTTAACTTAGTTTAGCATAAAGACTGGAAATGGGCAAACATCTAGCCTGACACTGTCCAACAGTAACAACACCTGCCAGACCCTCTAAATATCAAATCACTACAAACAATATATCTTGTTCAATCCATACATAAAGTGTAAGTGGGGAAACAACAATTCACTTCTTTATGTGGTGTTATGTGCTGGAATATTTCTTGGCTGGGTGCAATAACTTCATGGAGTCCCAACTTGTCACGAGGCAATTTCTCCTAATCAAGAACTTTGAGTCTTTCTGGATTTAATTATCTTTGAACAGAGCTAAGCTAGCCTTTACGCTAAGCTAAGCTTATGAGCTTCTGGTTGTGCCTTCGTATTTACTGGAGAAACATGACAGTTGCATCGAATTATGATCTAACTCTTGGCAAGAAGGCAAATAAGTGTATTTTCTAGGATGACAAAATAGTCCTTTGATAAACAAAAAGAAACAATAGTCGCAACCCAAAAGTAATGTCCTATTGTTAAGCTTACACCAGAATGTCTCATCATCATGTCTCATCATGATTTGTTGTACTTACAATTTCCACAATCACACTGTCTGGGGTTCGTCCAGAAAACACAAAGCCAAGGTTTCGTGCTGCTCTCACCAGAGCTCCTTCATCTTGGAAGCAAATTAAAACTCAGTGTTACAGATAAATGCACAAAGAACAGTTCAAGCACACATAATGCTGCTTCAAGATAAACTGCGAACCTGACACTTATGATAAGTGCCACAAATATTTGGTAAAGAAAGCTAGTTCATGATAATACATTTTCACAAAGAGGGCAGCAAAGCAAAGCTGTGGCCCAGGTAAATTATGCTGGAGCTTGCATGTGGATGCTGCAGGGCAAGAAAAAGCTTCTCTGCTTGTTGTTTTTACAGTTCACTTAACTGGCTTTCTCTTTACAGCCATTCACCCTCTGCTTCAAACCCCAGAGCTCCATAATACCATGATTGTTCTAAGCAATCAGGCAAGACTCATCTCTCTTATCAAAAGCAGGATGAAACGCAACAGCACTGCTTTGTACAGTTATTACACAACCCTTTTAGCAAACCACGATGTGTTCATTAAAAAGCCCACTCAGTAAATATGCACTTGCTCCCACGTTGAACTGAATATAGGCCTGCTCTACTTCTGTTCTTACTAACATTACATGTTCTTGATGTCTCAGTCTTTCAGGTTCACAACTCAATGTGACAGAATGGGCGATCACAATGAAGTGAACCAATCTACACATTATGTAAAAAGGAAATTTAATTTTAGAACATGATTACTGGCTCTTTCCTGCACTGATTATATAATTGTCATCATGAAATACTGGTGCCTGGAGGCTGTGGTGGAGTGTTCCATTTGCAAATCTACACTGCTATTACTCTGCTTTCCAGCACCTATGCCATGGGTGGAGCAGGTTGGCATGTTTGGAACTGTCAAAGACCAAAAACAAGACCAAGACTTTGTTGAGGTACAAGCCCTTTCAGTGATGTACTACAAATCGAAAAGTTTAAACATCATTAGCTGTCACAATTCACAATATCTAGTCTTTCTAATAAACACATTGAGCATCAGGAAGGACAACTCACTTACAATCCCGATTTTAATAAGCTTTTTCATTTTTCTCTTCTGAAATGCTCTTGTGAGCCCCAGGGCACTGAACAGTCAAAGCTATGCAGTGATAAAATCCCCAAATTATTTCCTGTGTACACACATCACATACTGGGATGATACCAGGTCAACGTGTATCCAGAAGCTGCATTCCATTAATTCTAAGGTGTTCAGTAAAGTGTTATGTACCTGGAGATGCAGCCTGGTATGTGATTCTTCCATCAGTGTGCTCAGGAACTCCAGTGTGACAGATGGCCATCATGGTCATGAACTCCAGGATGACAGCAGCCGTAGGCTACAGGAAGAGGAAAGGGCACTTTGACTTTTAATGTACCTTTATGAAACATGTCATAACAAAACACAAACAACAGACAAGACAACAACTAGAAAGACCTTTATAACAGTGTAGAAAGACAGAACAAGGACAAAAAGTACACTGTCTGAAAGAGTGCAGGATTTACTTTCAGTGCTCAAATGCTGCATATGTAGGACAAAGAGATGACACACATAACCTGCTAAGTGAAGCATGCTTCACTGTCATGAGTGCACAGTCATGTGCCTTCAAAAATCTATGTGGACTTTGCTATATTGCCTGATATGTATGTTTCAATTTAAACCACCATTTCCAATTTGTGTTACACAAGCAACCAGACTTTGGAATCTAAAGCTAGCTGTCTACACTGCTGTCTACACATTGTACTGCTGTGTCATCATGAGTTCTGTCCACAAACCGTGGGGTTGCATATTAAACAGGGTGGTGTGGCTTGCATCCCCACCGATACCCTTACAGAAAATAAAAAGAGAGAAGGAACAGCAAAACAGATTTACACAGCTGAATTTCTCAATCATGTTAATTTCTCTGGGCACAAATGTTTTGAAAATGTAATTTAAGTAAAGTAAAACTGATTAGGCCTGGGACCATGTATAAGTTTCTTTATAATTCAGTGAACAATTTTTCATTTTTAATACATAAATGCATTCATAGGTATCTGCTGAGGCTCTTGTCTGAGGATGCAGGCCCACCAACTTGTGGTCAGTGTCCACATCTGAGGCAGAAATAACAGCAGCCTGCAGTGCTACAACATTCCTGAACCATACAGTAACAGTACGAACTGTAGTCAGGTCGCTAAGGTTTGTCAACAGTAAAACTGATAGCAGACTAAGCTCATATTCCTAGTTTACCAACGTTACAAGCAATAAATAAATATAAGAAAACTTCACTGTAGTAACACAGAGGATATACAGTACAGATGTAACTAACCATGCTATCAGCTAACTGCTGCTTACTCAAAAACACCTGCATTTCACTCCCCTTGAACAAAACGCTACATACACACACAGTTTTATTAAATTTGCTCTTTCTTTTGTCCATGGCAATGCTGAAGGATCTTTAACAGGGGACAAAAGAGCAAATGAAGTCTATTACAGTCCAGGTGGGTGTGAGAGCCCAGTTTGCCTCTGAGCAGCATGCTAATCTGGCCTGGGTCGACAGGTATCCTCTGAAGAACAAGATAAATATATACTATATGTGCGTGTTCTAATCTTAGTATGCAGACAGTTGAGTTTTAGACTCTGAGGATATTTTTAGAAAGAGCCCACTTTTTAGCCAGTCCTCATTCAAGGGGCTGTGTGAGGGTTTAGATTTAGGCTTTGGTTAAATCTACAGTACAGGATGGTGTTAGATTCTTTACCCTTGGGGAAAAAAAAGCAGGCTACTGTAGTTATTTGCCCCCGTTTCCTTTTTGCTATGCTAACCATCTTAGATTAGCTCTCCTGGCTCCAGCATCATATTAGTCAGACAAATATCAGCATGGTATTGATCATCTTATCTAACTTTCAGCAAGAAAACAAACATTTTAAAAAATGCCAAGTGGGCACTTATCACTTCAGTCATAGCCAGTGTAGAAAGAGTTTAGAAAGTCAAAACATAAAGTGGAAAGCCTAGGCAAGTGAACGTGCAAATCAACACCCACAAAGGTTGCTGAAACTCTGCAGGCAGTGAACATGTCCAGTGACTTGAGAGAATATAAAAAGTACCAGAAGAAATGTTTATTTATGTCGACACTTAATTCCCCTCTCCTCTAGTCTGCCATCCTCCCTCAACACTGCATCAGCACTACTTCTACAAATAGCCTGCAACCATGAAAAACTATTGTTAATGAATTTTCACATATTTTTCTCAAGGTTTTTGACCAGGGTGACACTTGTAACCAATCAGAGAAGGCCACCATCAGGAGTGGAAGCAATACACAGTACATTTAAAATGCAGACATTTGAGTGGCATCAATCTTCTCATTTATCTATCTATCCATTATCTATACTGCTTCTCCTGAAGAGGGCCACAAGTGGGCTGGAGCCAATCTCTGCTGACACTGGGTGAGAGGCGGGGTACACCCTGGACAGGTTGCCAGTCCATCACATGGCTGACAGAGAAGACAACCACACTCAGTCCTACGGGCAATTTACAGTCACCAATCAACCTAAGCTGCATGTCACTGGACTGTGAGAGGAAACCGGAGTAACCGAAGAGAACCCACACAGGCACAGAGAAAACACGCAGCACCGGGTTGGCCGAGGCTCAAATCAAGAACCTTCTTGTTGTGAGGTGACAGAGCTAACCACTGCATTACCATGCCACCCAAACTTCTCGACTATATCTCTGCAAAAAAGTACATAAGAGTATTGCCCAAAATGTCAAACAATTTCTTTAATGGCAGTGTTATTAGAATTGGCCTCTATTAAATGTAAACATTTTCAAAGAATATGACGTCATGGCACAATTCCTCCTACATACTGGAAGGTGACTTCTTGAAAAAACATCTGCAGAAAAAAACTACTCACTCAAGTGCTACAATATTAAGACATCAACCAACAACAGTATTTAGTACAAGTACAACCCAAAGGATTAATCATAAGCAGCATCACTGTCAGAGACGTAGAGAGAGACTGTGGTTTCTAAACAGTGGTTGGTTATGCCCCACAATTAGCAGTAGGTACAGAGCTATCAATATGGAACTAAACCAGATCCTGGAGAGATTCTGATGTCATACCAAAGCAAACATCACAGTGGGCTTACTACTGGCTCTGGGCGGAGCTACTCTATCTAATTAGATACAACATTCTGCTTCCCCCACACCGACTCAATCACAGCCTTCACCCTAATTTTACTGTAACCAGTGGGCTACTCTGAAGGCCTGTAACACCAAACACATGTCCATGTTTTGAGATAAATGTTTGTTGTTCTAATGTAATTTGTGGGCAGTCTTCACATTTCTACGTTCATTATACTGCTGTATAGTTCCCCACAGTGGAAAAGCAAACAAGCAGGTCTTCATCCTGTCTGCATAATTGGGGCAACATGTGTTTACATTTACAGTGTCTTGTAATCCATCCGATAGCATGATATTAATCTAACTTGTACTTTATTAAGAGAGAATCAGGTCCATTTGTCTGTCATCTTGATCCAGACCAAATGACATGCCAAAGCCCTTTTACCATTTTAAAAACTACATACAAGTCCACAACACATCACTGATGTTTAAAATGATAAGACATTATACAACCACTCATAATTAAACACAAAATCTTCTTTCTTTTGCCCTAAACAGTAGCCAGTGCAGCAGACAGGCAGCAAAGAACCTTGACATTACTTACGTGATTACTTTGGAAGTTTTCCAGTAAGCTTGGGTCATTAAATTCAGCCTCATCAGTCGAGTGTGTGCTGTGCCTGGAAAGAAGAGACAGAGAAGTCAAAACAACAGAAGACACTGGAATACTTGGCAGCACTACTGTACAGCACTGACGCCAACTAGAACATGTGTCGGGACAGTAGAATAGAACAGTAAACAACAGATAATTAATATGAATCATCATCAAAGACCATTCTGTCATCAAGGTTTACGACAACATCAGGAAGAGTTTACATAAAAGTACAACTTTCTATTAGAATCTGACAACTTTCCAAATATGATAATAAGCACAACCGAAGTGTCAAAAATTAAGTCTTTTGGAGCCTGCACAGAACCTGCTACAAGTTCCCATCAAATTAATGAACTATCAACCTCTGTGCAGCCTTTGCAGGCTTGCCTATACATGCATTTAAAGATCATGCAATGGTATAAAGCATTTTGGCACAACCTAAAAAGGGCAGCATTGAAAGTTTGCCATTGTTGGTATTTATTTCCCTTTGACAGACTAATCAGTTAATTGACTAATTATTTCATCTCTAGATAAACCTACTTTGCACTGGGACTGAAAAAACAGGTCTCAAACTGGTATTAAGACAGCCATGCCACCAACAGCACTGACATTTGTTGAAAACATGTATCAACTGCAATGCAAACAGAATGCAAACGCAGGTCCCCTGAGCTTTAGTAATGCGATGTTCAGTGCGACTGGGAGTCATTGTCCGTGCTGACAGAAACAGATCATGCTTTGAGATAGCAATGTCCTGAAATGGGACATTATTGTTTCACACTTTTATCCACACTCATTCATGCATTTATTTTCTCCTTTAAATATCATAGTCTATTCAGCTAGTTCCATAAATAATAAATGGTGTTCCCCGTTGCTTTACAAATTAAACAATGCAAGAGGAACTGCTCACAGGGAGACAGGCTGAATTTTTGGCAGCTAAAAAGACCATATTACTCATACTCAACAAAGCCAAACCCTAATAAATTACTGGCAATTCAATTAGTCTTTCATACTTGAACCAGAAAAGCTTTTTGTTACTGGCAAAATGCAAAAGAGTTCAATATTCTGAAATCAATTTGAAAAATAGCAAAAGAAAAAAAAAAAGATACAATCTTTCATTGACAATGCAGAACTGGAAAAAACCAGACTTGAGCACGCAGAGAAAGGATGATTTTTATCCTTCTAACAGTGGCTTAGGCCAGTGATTCTGTGTGTAGCCACCAGCCGCCCACTGACTGTCCAGTGGGGATCGATATACGATTCTGTGAAAAATAAGAGTCCTATAGATTAGGTAGCAGCTTTGTTAGTGGCACTGGAGCTTGATAGAAATGTTAGTGAGGCTGCCATTAGTAACAATAAGTCTTTCTTATCCCACAGGATACACTGCTCAGATCCCCAAGAGCCAACCAGCCAGCCAGCCATTAGAACTTCTATCCATTACACAGCAAATAGAAGTTTGGCAGGAAAGAACTACAGAAGAAACAAAGCACAGCTGTGTTACAACCAACACAGATGCAGTGGATATTAGGGAAATATGTCACACTAACAGGTTTTATTAAAATGTCATAGAAAATTCAGAAAACAAAATAGGCATTTCGAAATCTTCCATCTACTGTATGTAAACAATAACGTGGGCAGATATTTCAACTAAAAAAAAAAAAAAAGATCATATATATCACACTATATATCTTGCTCTGATTGTAAATTTACATCAATGAAACTTGTATGAACAATTTATACTTTTCAGCAGCCTTATGTATTCACATAAGATAAAAACATATACAAATTCTGCACTTTGAGACTGAAAATGTTATTTTTGACAGATCTCTGAAGTCATTATTACTGTTTCTAGCCCTTGTACAGGAGAGGAAGCCTAAAGCTTTTCTCCACTGCAGCAGTAGCATAGCTCGCCACGTCTTGATGACATTTCTGAGGCACAAGGCTGGGTGTGGAGAACGGTCAGTTATTGATTATCTGCCAGCACACAGAGATCCTGTCACCATGGGAACAAGCATGCAAGCTGTCAAGTGCCAGGGACCAACTTCAGATCAACCCTGTAACACCTCATGCTGCCTGTTCCTGGTAGAAATGATGCATTTAGAATTGGCCTGTGACAAGACATCAGCAGTTTTATGGTGCTCGACCCTGGATTCAGACATGCTTTAATTTAGATGAAACGCCATTTAAAAACCAAAAACAAAGTGAATTTGGATTTGGTACTGCTTTTTGGTTTGTTTATCTATCAACCTATAAAAAACAATGATTCATTTTTCACTTGCATCTGTATCTCTAACTTGTTTTCAGCTTAATTAAGCTTCTAACTCAGTTGTTTTAGTAGGAAAGAAACAGTAAAACATGCTTTTATGGGAACGGGCAACTTCTTTTAAAACACAAAGATTCAAAATTTTAGCATAATAGGCATCAACAAATGGCTCCATGCAAACTGGATGAAACACATCCATGCTGTTACTGCAGATCTGAACACTGTAGCAAAAGGATCTCAGAAGTAGGACTGTGTGAGCTTGTGTATATGTGGGTATGTGTGAAAGAAAGTGAGAGACAGACAGAATAAGTGAGACTGTAGCTATCATCTACAAAGTTAGTTTGTTGTGAAATGGGGAAAAGGAGAATGTGCTGCACAGCGTCAGCCGAAACACAACACACAGTAAATCTGGGAAGTCTTGGTCTATCAGAGCTCAAACATAAGTGCCTGTCACACAGGAAACCATAAAATTCAACAATAAATTTGATGCAATACTAGCCACATATAAGTAGAGCAATTATTTAAGGCTCTTATTTTTACACAGTGAATCAAGAGCCACAGTTTCACTGTTTCAGTTCACATGTCTCAAAGTGTACAGAAAGCACAAAGAAAAAAATAACAGCAAAAATACACAGATATTCTGGTCAAAGTCACATTTTCCACAAGGCAAAGCAGCACAAATACAACACAAAAGCGGAGAGTGAAAAAAAAAAACAACAAACAAACACTATTTCACATCAAGCCATCTTACCAGTCGTCCTCTGCAAAACTACCCTCCTCAGCCTCAGGGACATGGCTGTTGGAGTGAAGGTGGAGAACAGAAATCATCTTGTTGACAGTCTACCATTAACATGTTCTGAAAATGTGTAGGTGCCAGGACTGGAGTAAAGATGGGAGTGTTCATGAGGAGTTACCAGAGAATGATAAGTCAGGGTTAGGGGCAGGCTGACTGCGGTGGTTACAGTAGGCCCCCTAATCATTTATTCTTTAAAGCAATAAGTCAACATTTTGGGCCATAAATTATTTGCTAGATGATAAATATGAAACTATCTTCATCAGGAGGCTAACTTAGCTTAGCATAAAGCCTGAAAACAGGGGAAACAGCCTGGCTCTGTTCAAATGTAACAAGATCTACATACCAGCTACAGTACACCCTATAAAACCACAGCTTCTTGTTTTCACATGTTTTTTGTGGGAATTAAACAAAATATAGTCTTAAATAGTACGTTTTAGTGGTGCTGGTAGGCTATAGGTAATGCTATGCCATATTTGCATCAGTAAATTCAATAATTGAAGCGTTAAAGGTACTAGTTAGTATTTTATTGGGCACTATTATCACTCTTCTGTTACTGCTCCTTGAAACTGTATATATGCACTGACATTCATTCTTAAGCTAGCAACATTTAAAATTTGTGCCAATACATGTGAAATTCATTAGAAGGTTACTGCTAAGAACAAACTATGTCACTAAAATATTAAATATTTTTATTAAAACATACTGTTTTAAAACCTGAAATGTAACTAGTGAAAATCAAGTCACTTAGCAGCATTTTTTGAAAATCAACTTAAAAATATTACACTGAGGATGTTCTACCAAAATATTTTAGGAGGAATCAAAAAATGGCAGAAGTGAGGGGGGGATTGATAAATGCTTGGGAATAATTATGTTACAGTAAGATGTCTCATTCCTTATCAGGCAACAGCAGGAACAGGTCTTTGTAACTACAGCTACAATGTGCATTTGAGTATTCAGTGTACATTTTCATGTCCATCAATGAATCTAGCAAAGAAAACAACAATGGTTGAAACTCTAAAATGAGCACACTGCTCCAGAATGAGGCACCACATTATTTTTGGCATGTCTGCTCTGGCAGACTAACTGCAGTGCAGGGTTTTGTTAACTGTGCAGAGTGGAGCCAACCAGGCAACGTGCTCCACTGAACATTATGAGTTTTCATTTGATTCAGAGTCAGTTTTATTGTTACTGTGACTCTGTTCAATCTTGTACCTTCAGAAAAATAACCCTGTGGTTTTCTGTATTAACAACAACCCAGTCTGTCTGCAAAGAGCATTAGGCAAAGATGACAACGGCCACTGACAAATCACCAACACCAAGTTGGGTTGTTAAAAACATTACAAATTACATTACATTTTGTGAAGTTTATCATTATTTCTAACCCAAACAGTCTCTCCTTGAGATTTGGACAGCGATCCAGTGGAATTAATTAAGGTCTGCACCTTTGGGGACTGTATTATTATTACAGAAGTACTTAATCTGTGGTAAGGATCACATGCACCGGCAGTGTCAGGAGAGGCTTTGTGTGTGTGTGCTGACATCAAATAACAAGTCACACCCATACACTGCATATAAATATGGAAAACGTGACGGCTCCCAGAGGTCAAGGCACCCCAAGTCCCCTGGAGGTTGGTTGCAGTATAGGCCATGCCCCCTCCACATTAGCAGATGGGACTTCAGACAAAATAAAAATCAAAGTACAAATCAAACTAATTTTTTCCCAGAGGTGAATTCTGTGATTTTTGGTAGATATTATCATGCTGATGTGTGTACAAGTGGTCCATTTTTTGGTAAGTTTGCTTTTAATATATTACTTGATATAAAAACTGGTACATTTCAGTTTTGGTTGGTGGCCTGATACGGTCATCCTCTTCTCATCACTACTGCGCAGACCCTGTTTGCAAAATGCAGAGATAGCAGCCACTCTATTCCCAATATTTTGGCCTTACTTTTGCATCATAGAGGAAAGCAATGATGCAAAACAAGAATGTATTACTGTTTTTGAAACTAAAACTCAACTCTTATTTTGGAAACTCGGATGAAGAAGAGCCAGCCAAACGACAGCATCATCAAACCGGCATCACCTCATGAGAACCTGTCTACGTTCCACCCTGCTATGAAACACTCATCCATATTTATCAGTTGCATAAGAGGGAGTTCTTGTTTCAGAAAATCAAAGTAAAATATCTCTACTTAGGATGAAGGACACAGAAACTGCTGCCTAATATCAAACTCTGCAGTAAGGAGATTCTGTCCCTGATGACCAGCAGGCTTCACCTAATTAAATAACTGCTAAAGCAGTAGCACAAAACATCTAAATAGCAAAAATAACACCTGTGCCTCAGCCTCAGCAGTGATCTAAGCGTTTTCACATCATCAACAATGTATTATCACTGGTGAAAGTAACTTTACATTCTTGACCCAGAAACAGACTATGAGAAGTTGTCAGTGTCTTCACTGGGCTAGCGAGCATACCATAATGAGAGCTTTGGTACAAAGAACTCCAGACATTATACTCTCTTTTGTCTTGCAGCAGCCTGCACTTTATCAATCATGCTTTTAATTGAATCCTAATGGGATTAATCATGTACTGTCATGCCTGCACTTGCTTTGGTTCTGTAAAGCTACTCTGCTCTCCCACTTGTTTTGCATCAACTGAGGCTAATTATCTCTGCAATAAAATGAAATGAGTGTATTTAGGTGAAAAACATCAGGGGCTGATTTAATGAAATGTTAACATGTAATAGAATATGCTTTTAAGATAGTGGGTCTGAGGGGAAAAAAGTAAATTCTTACTTAAATCCTTATCAAACATACCATAACCAATATTCTTGTTTCTAACTTGCATCAAGACATTGTCAAGCTCTGGACCATACAAAGAAAATACTGACACAGCCAGTTTTCACATTCACAAACACCGTCAGCATAACAAACAATGTAAGAAAGCCTGTGAGACAGAGAGTGAAGTGCTAGTGTTGTCACGATACCAACATTTTGGTACCGGTACCGGTACCAAAATGTATTTCGATACTTTCGATACTTTTGGATAGTTTTTCAGATAAAAAGAGAACGCAAAAAATGTCATTACTGACTTTATTTTAATAGAAAATCTTAGAATAACATCAAAATAAAATTCAAAATACTAGGCTTTTCTTATTGCACTCAAAAAAAAAAATTTTTAGAACAGTCAGTGTGAGTAAATAAAAAGTATGAAGTTAGAAGTTCTAACTTAGAAAGCAGATAGACAGGAGGAAGGAATAAATGGAAGAGGAAAAATAATATAGAAAATGAAGAGTGCAAGAAGAATTAGAAAACAGCTTTATATGCTCAGAGCCTGAGGGAAGAGAAACCAGTTTAATAAAATAAATGATAAAATCACTGAAACATTTTTGTTTATCTGTGCGTATGAGGTAGTTAGTGTGACCAACCCTGTTTCCCCCCCATTACATTTTGCTACCACCTTGAATACACAGTACACAAAATTACTTGCAAGGTCAAGTAATCTAAACAATGTTTAACTGATAAAATACAAGCTTGAACATTTAACATGAAAAGTACCTACACTGAATATTTGCCATTAAAATTTTAAATCTCACCCATTGGTTCCACAATGTCTGGAGGAAAGACTCGGGATGCGAATGCTCTGCGGAATATGGCACAGAACTCCTTGTCCAAACCTCCAATCCCAATCTTCTCAAAGTTCCAGTCTGGGTTGATGATTGTCTGTCGGGCCTTTGCCTTACCTTATAAATACAGGAGACAACCCCTTAACTAACAAATCTCAGAAATGTCTTAAATCTAGTGGATACATGAGGATAGAGTATAAAAGCAAATCTGCAAGTAAAACATTTTTTTTAGGACGTTTGTCATTTAGTGCTTCAAATCTAGATCCTGAGATCAGTTGGGAAATATCAGCCACCTGTAGGGAGAAAGAAGGAACATACCAACTAGTGTGAGGGAAGAATTCTCTGCCTTCTCAAAAATCACCTGACTGTTTGCAACCATCAGCCCGATGTCAATCTGTCAGAGAAAACACAGCTGTAATCGGCCTATACTCTATTCAGAACAGTGACATATTAGCTGTCTTCACTTAGCGACAAGCTAGAGATAATAATATCAAACTCAACATTAGTGTTGTCACGATACCAATATTTTGGTACCGGTATCGGTACCAAAATGTATTTCGATACTTTCGATACTTTTGGGTAGTTTTTCAGATAAAAAGAGAATGCAAACAATGTCATTACTGACTTTATTTTAATAGAAAATCTTAGAATAACATCAAAATAAAATTCAAAATACTATGCTTTTTTTATTGCACTCAAAAAAAATTTTTTTAGAACAGTCAGTGTGAGTAAATAAAAAGTATGAAGTTAGAAGTTCTAACTTAGAACAATTAGAACAAATAAAATTATTTGAAATTAAAATAAGCTAGCAACTGTAGCAGCAAAATCTCTTATTTTCCTATCAACATTATGTCCCTTCTCCCTACTCCCTCTCTTGCCTACTATTGGGTGGCTGATTCTTTTGGAGTAGACTATCTACTGAGTCTGACTCAGGCTTTTTGTCTTGTTGAGATTCTTGGCCAAGAAAACCAAAATGTCTAGGTGTTCCTCACTCAATCTAGAACGCCTTGGACTACAGATATTTCCAGATGTGCTGAAGACACGTTCTGATGCACAGCTTGATGCTGAAATGCACATATATTGTCGTGCAAACTGAACCAGGATGGGAAGATCAGACTTTAAATGGTATGTTACCAGACTTTATAACATATTAAATGGCTAAATATGTATGTAAAACACTGAAGGACTGTGCTGTAACCACATTTAACGTTTTGAAAAAATACATTTTTTAATTTTTTTTATTAAAATTTAGAAAAAAAAATGTCTATGTTTGATAAGAACTCTTTATCATGTGTTGCACACTTAAAACTATTGAACTATTGCATTTGAGAAGGGTACATGTCATGAGTAAATGACCTGTCGTTCCCTGAACTCAGTGTGCAGGTCTGGGTGCTTGTCCTGTAGGTGTTTGGCTAAGTTGGAGGTGTTTCCGCCCTTAGCCATGCATGTTTTAAAACATCGTTTACACAATGGTGCATCAACGTTAATTGCCTCTCCTTGCTCATTTGTTTTTATGCCGAAGTACTGCCATATAGCACTTCGCGCCCCTCGTTTGTCCACAAGTTTGTCCTCCAACGTCTCTGCTCTCTCCAAGCTTTCCTCCTGCTCCGTTTGTTGCTCCAGTCCACGCTGCTCAGTGAGCAGAGGACGAGGAAGCTGTTTCCTGCTCTGTTTTCCTCTGTTGCGGGTGGGCGCTGCAAGTACTGGTCCCATCCAAATGCAGTATAGTACCATTTTAAATGCCTCAGTACCGAGGTAGCATACTAGTACCGGTATATCGTGCAACACTATGAAGTGCCTGTCTGCCTTTAGTTGAAAGAAGCATTGATGCGGCTGACAAGGCAAGGGAGGAGACAGCAACGCCGCATGTACTATAATATGATGAACACTCGACATTTAATAAAGGTGATGGGGAGGCTATGATAGAGGATGCATGTAGGCAGACAAGGAGTAGAAAAAAAGATAAAGAGAATGGAACATACCCATAAGCCACACCGGCAATAGTGCACTTCTTGAACTGCATGACATTGCAGGTCAGTGTCCCCGTCTTGTCAGAGAAAATGTATTTCACCTATATGGGCAGAGAAAGATGGAGTAAGACTTACTTCTTGGGTATATAGGTAATTCTAAATGAGAGATTTTTCAAGTAGGATAATGTATAATTTAGACTCCATTGTTTACCTGGCCTAGTTCTTCATTCAGATTGGAGGTGCGAGCCATGGCAGGTGTGTTTGTGGGCTCATAGAGCATATCAGTGTCCTAAAACCAACCACAAAGAACACAACGAAGTATTTCACTAAGGACACAACAGTCATGGTAACAAGTTCTCATTAAATTAATCTTCACACTGCGAAAGTAAAAATAAAACACCCATATTGTAAAGAAATATTACTTCAGTCAGGTTCTTTTCAGTTGGTCAATTTTCCCTTAAGAAAATACTAACCAAGTGGGACTGTGGTAAGACAGACCAAACGAGGACTGCACTCCTTCCTTGGAGTTTTATTTAAGATTTAAAGAATAAAGGGGCTCAAAATAACTCGGGGCAAGTTCCGCAGATGAGATAGTCAGAGGATCTGACCTAGTTGCTGAGAACGTAAGAGGACAACATTCTTGTTCACTGAAATGTTTCTTGCCAGGTTTCACAGTTAACCTGCAACTGGGGGCAGTGCAATACGCTGTAACCATAACTCTGACATATATCACCTTATAAAGGTGATATAGTAAACATCTTAAAAACAGTTGCTTCTTTACACACTGAACAACATTAGCATTCATTTGGAGTTGTGTTTGTGTCAACATGGCAAAGTTAACCTCGATCCTTACTCTCATTTTAGTTCCGTTTTGGTCTCCACCAGTTCCTGTGGGAAATATCAGGCTACTAACTTCCATTTGGTGCTAAACAGGTAGCATACAGAGGGTGTTTAATGTTATTTTGATGAAACTGAAAAGCTGCCTGCTGCATTAAAAATAATGCTGACATGAGTGTCGAGACTAAATAAAAAACAAAGCAATGTGTGGAAAGATGCTAAAATGTTCTGAACAGCTGGACGGAACTGCAGAGTTAGATGATATTAACTTTGTGTGCTGATCACTATAAGCAACTCCCTTCCATCCATTGTTGATATACAGCTTTAACTGCAGTACAGTGCACTATATTCAAACCGTCACCGCCCACTTTGCTCTGTTTATGTAGTGATTAACTGCAAACAGAAGACAGCAAACAGACAGCATGCATTAATATAACACATTACATGCACCCAGTTACAGGTACAGTAGGTCTACTTGTGCGGTGCATATAAACACAGATGTAAAAGATGCATTAATGTAAAAGTTATTGTCCTTTTTAAAGTCATATTAGTCATGACATAGTGCATCCATGTCAAACGTAGTGTTTAATTTAGATAAACCACAAACTGTGCCATCAACTCACCCAATTGATGAAAAAGGCTTGGATGAACTTGATAACCTCCAGTGTGACCAGGAGACTGATGGGGATCAGGTTGTTGAACAGGATGATGAAGGTGAGAAAGTTGAGTGCAAAGTTTGCCGCCCCACCATCTATCAGGGATGAGTTTTGGGCAGAAAGAAATGATAGTAAACTCGTGAGTGCTGGTTCATAAATATCATCCAGTTAAATGAAAATACCCAAAGCTACTTATAGCCAATGATCAACATTATCCCAGTCCAAATCATGTTTTGGGCTAACATTGTGCATTAGCTGGAATTAACCATTTCTTCCACCCAACCTCATCCTCTTAAAACCCAGTTGATTTTGAGCCCAATTTAAAGTCCCACCAGGTAGTGACCAGGGACTGAAGTATCTCAAATGTCATTAGTGTCACAGCAGCAGCCTTGGCATCCAGCATGATCTAGGCAATGAATTTGACAAAGCACTATGCAAAATGATGCGGTTCTCTCGAAAACACCAAACAATTGGCAGTGATCAACATGTAACCCCACTCACACCAAACATGAAAACAGGAGGGAAGTGTTTTACCTTTCCTCAGCTTGCAGGATGTGCAAATATCACCTTTCTGAACCTAAGCCTTAATTTTAGCATTGTGGTCGAGAGGGACAGCCTGTCCCCTTGACAGGACGATTGCAAAACAAAAACTGGATGGCATAAAGAAAGTAGCATGATGGAAGCTACTGCTACAACAACACAAAGGTGGATTTTTTTTTTCAGAAGTGGAGAGGAAGACAAATGTATCAGGTGCTTTCAAGACAAAGGAGGGAGATTCAGTCCATAGCACATTCTCAACCAACAAGAAGTGGAAAAAAGCGGGTGGATTGTGCCAGCAGAAAAGTCTGAGTGTTAATGATAATCACTCACGTCATTTCACAGATGCCTATTAGCAAACTTGCTGTAAAATAATTCTGCTGAGATGCTGAGAAGTGATAAAGAGTTGGATCAGTAGATTCAAAAAAACAGAAATCAAACCACAGCAAACTAGGACATGCACAAGTCACATAAGTGCAACTGTATACCTGATGACTTTACTTAGATTTATATCACTGTACTGTAATAGTAATATACATATAAGATGTTCTAATCATGTTTAATGAAGCAAGTGAACATAAACATACTTCTAATAATGAATTCACAAGTTGCTGCAGGAGCTGAATGGCAAATTGTTTGGGTATAATAAAATGTTCTTTCATTTTGTGTGGCACGAATACATTTGTGTATTCCAGACCGCATAAACATTATGCTACAAGAAGAAGTCGGACAAAAAAACGACCATGACTTCGGTTCAGATATCAGCAGTTTCTTAGCAGAGATACTCAGCATAAAGTCAGTGATATGGTGATAAAAGCACACCTAACTACAAAAACTAATTATACTAATTGAGTAAACTGGAGCAGATGGCATGAATACATAACAAATGGTCATTTGTTTTTGCTCTCAGTCTGTATAAAGTTGTCACAATGTACAGGCTTAATGTCAGCAATGACCGGCGTCAGCACTTTGCAATGGGTCAAAGTCAAATTAATTATTCACCAGGCAGGCATAATCACAGGCTTGTGTGACACATCAGCATGTAAAATGTGTGGCAGCATAACACCGACTCTTCTGTTTCTGTCTGCATTTACTGGCCAAATTTGGTGAGAGAGCCAAAATAATAAAGGAAAATAAAGTTGTGTCAATAAAAGGAATGTAGAAGATCAGACAATCTCCCCACCTCTCTCTTTTGTCCTAGTTTGGATAATGTGCACTGGACAGAGTCTCAACAGCTCCTTATGGAAGTACAATCAGATTTAAGATGGATACCTGCCTTATGACTTGCACTCAGTGTGATATAGGAATTTTTAGATGTGAGTTTTGGTGCCTCTGAGAACAATATTAAAACCTTTGCAAAATCAAAAGAAGCCAATGTAACATCTAATATTATAGGGTCAGTGTAAGTCGTAATGCAAGCTTAAATTGACCAGGGCACAACCTCTCCTACACAGGGCCTACTGGGGTACAGAGTAATGGCCACAGTGTCACGATAATCACTTTGCATACCAAGTTCAGAGCTTCATCACAACAGACAAACTGTCACAGAAACTGTACAGCCCACATTTTTGTATTGTGATAACAGCAGTTCTAAATAGTCATTCTCCACAGTTGCATGACAATACATGTAAAACCTTAACTAGTTTAATTAACTCCCCGCAAGAAAAGAAGGCGGGTGTGGCAAAGGCATTCAAAAAATGTCAGCTTTTTTACTCCTCAGTTGAGGCACATGTTGTCCCTGAGCAATAAACCCATAAGCCTACTGCTACAAGAAACACCCTGAGAACAACCTCATCTCCCTTGCAGACAACTAAACGCTGCTGTTCATTTGTCATAAAAAATGAGGAAAAAACACTAAGATGAGGGTCTGAATCTTGAGAACTGCAAAGTGTTTAACGGGGCACAAATAATGGAGGAAAAGTGAGACACTGTTTGCATCAGGCATTGAAAATAATTAGATGAAGGTACAAGAGAGCTGGAGGGGAAAAACCTATTGTTGGATCCCTGGTATGTGCTTGTCCATGGCATGGGCCCATACAAAGTAGGGCAACCATATAGGGGACGAGGGTAGGGGGCTTCATTTGCTTAGCAAAGGTAGAGCTTCAGTAAGGGGTTAGTAAGGGAGGGTCATTCACGGATGGCCAAGGCTTTTAAATGGTTGTTACCTGGAGCTGTTAAAAAAATGACAACAAAGAAAACAACAAATCAAACAGAACATTAGAAAGGAACCAAAATGTACAGCAGCGTAATGATATTCAACCATTTCTTTTTTCACTCATTCACAACACATCTATGCATGTCACAGCTATCTTTTCTCACTTAATAAGAAATTCACTTATTCCCATATTGCCACATATTTCACTTGTAATGCAAAACATTCAGTAGTATAACTGAGGCAACTTAAAAAAAACACAAATACCAGCATTTAAGAACTTAATATGAAGAGGAAATAAGCTGATATGGACAAGTGAGACAAAATATGTGGAATAAGAGGTGAAGTGTAGGCTATTGGGGCTCTTACAGTTGAGATCCATGTACCAGGCATCATTGCCGCTCTGGTACTTCCAGATGGTTTGACCGATGGAGCAGAACAGAGAGATGGCCAGCAGGCAGCCAAACAACACAAGTATTTGGATATTGGTGATCCGCTCTACATTCGACAGCTTCAGAGGGGGCCGAGTGGAGTTCTGAGTAAACAGACATGTAAAAAAACAGAAGTGTAACCAATGGCAGTGTTCTTTTTCTGTGGTCTCCAAACAAATTATTTCAGGAACATGAAGTCTGGAGGCATACTGTACATACAGATACATGCAGTCTGACATACTGTATATCAGTTTAAAATGTTTGGCTGCATAACCAACTATGATATTGCCAAAAGAAACATCTAAAGAGAATAAGATTAATATTTTTTCTCATTTTTCCAGTTCACCAGACTTGAATGTTCCATCCGTAACTGAAAATAATACACTACACACTGCAACATCATTACTGTACAGCCCAATATGTCTTACCTGCATGAGCTTTGTGTCATGTCCTGTGTAGACCACCACACCATGGACCCACTGAGTGTTCCTCAGCTGAGCCCCTCTCAGTAAGATCTGGTCTGGACCCAGTGGTATTGTGCTGCAGTAACAAATATCACTGCAGTGACTATCTGAACAATGTTTCAGAAAGTAAAGACTGAGAATGTCTTTGGAAGATGATGAATGTCAAAGATGTCATTAGGTGACAGTGATTGGTGACATATTTAGACCACAAACTGTCTTATTTTGTCATTATATATGTACAAGTACAAGGCAATGAAAATACAGTTTAGCATTTAACCAGAAGTGTAATAACAGCAGTGCAGAGAGCGCAGTATCTACAGTATCTACAGTATGTACAGTCATCCTAAATAAATGACTATTGACCTCAAATGTATTCACTGATTTAACATCAAGCTTCCTATTTCATATTGATAAATGTACTGTTCCAACACCAACAATAACCAACTGTCAATATAGTCAACACTTATTAAAGTATCCTGACAGGTCTTTTACTACACAGACGTTACATAACAACAAGTACTAATCACAATCAAAGGTAAGTAGTATTTTGGTCTCTGATTTTACTAAACTACATTTCCCATTTATGAGCTAAACTCTTAATTATAAACTAAAATATACAAGCTATTTAAAGAGTATAGTAAAAATTTCAGTGTGTGCCTTCCACAGCTTACAACAAAGGTGCATACGCTGATGCATCCAAACCTTTAGGATCTCAGGCTCTATTAAGTTGCATGCTGTTAAAACTAAATAATGGAGAAAAGATTTCCATCTATTCAATTTAAAAAGACTGCCCATCAAAATATGAACCCATCAAAACCTAAAATTAGCTCCTGTTTATTCAGTGGCACTTTGTCACACACTCCATATATTAAGCCATTAATTCCTAAAAGCTACAAACAGTATATAATGTATTTCCTTACAACAGCAGAGTCTCTAAATAAATGTATAATTAAATATCACTGAAGTAGGAACTCTCATTTGTTCATCAGAATGATTAAATCATTCCTAAACCCTCATAATGCACTGATACTGGCTATGCTGCTGGCTAATGGGATATTGATTTGCTAAGAGGGGCACAGAGCCAGGCACTGAGTTCTTCAACTAAGCCCACCTGTGTCCATCCAGGCGAATGTTCCCAACAAACTCATACAGATGACGGTTTGGGCTCTCACACTCCATTCGCCCTCTGAGGCGCATCAAGCTCTCAATGTCCTTTAAGCCTGCAGTCACTTGGAGACACTGTTGATGTAGTTGCACCAGCATTTTAGCAGGGTTTTTTTTTCTTTCACATTTCATCAATTTGTGTTGCAAACTTTCTAAAAATTCATTTTAGTTGTAATTATATGGGCAGTAAAAATTAGAAAATGCCATCACCTGTCTTATTTTAAGGTTTGTTTCTCCATCCAAGTTAGATGTTTCAATGTAGCACATACCCTGTGGTTCACTGTAGTGGAACAAGAAGATACAGACACTTATAGTAGTAGTAGTATAAAGAACACAAAAATAAACTGATATTTAATCATATATTACAGTGTATCTAACCTCAGCTATTTATTATTTCGTATGATTAGAACTTTATGTAATTGTATGGCAATAAACACAAGGGTGCCGATTATTTCCAAATGATCATGTATCACTTTCCATTTAAATCAGTCTGCTGTAAATTATTTACAAACTAAATCTGATGGAAATTGGTCTACAGCACAACAATTACATATGATTAGAGCACTGCAAACAAAGGTGCTGCCTTCCAGTCTAAATGCTACTCAGAAACCCAAAATGACATCAAGTTTTACTGAGTGGAAGTTAGCTATTAAAAGCGCAGTACATTGGGAGGACATAACACCTTTGTTTGCTGGTACCCTGATTTTTAACCATCTGTCAAGAAAAGCTAAAATACATTGCAAAGAAACAGAGAGCAGAGAGAGGGAAAACACCAGAGTGGGATGATATGAGTAAACAAGCATGGTGAGCACTACCAAAAGAGCAGACAAATGGGCCTCTGACAGACTCTGGGCACAGGGACAGAGAGTTTGAGCATCCCAGCACTTAAGGTGAGCTGGGTCGCTGGTAGGCTACTCTTTTACTTGAGTGATTTATTCATTCATTCACCAAAATGAGATCTGAGTACTAAAGGCCAACCACAATCAGTGAGAGGTTTGGGATCCACTGAGAGTTTTGCTTCATGGAAATGAGCATAAGTCTGCTGTGATGGCCAGGAAGTGAATTCTAAAACTTGATGCTATTCATAAAACAGCAAAATACATCTTCAGTACTGACTATGAATTACTGAACTAGACTGAAGTCTGTTTAACTGGCAGTAACATCTTACATAAAATTTTAAAAAATCCACCATTCCAAGGAAATGGAAAGTGACTGCATGCAAATTCAGGGTGCCATACAAGCCATGCAATTACAAGAATATAAATCAAAATAAAAATGTTATTCACATTCAAAAATAATAACGTGTGCTCCTTTGCTGAAATACTAGATGTGTCCATTCAGTCAAAGACTGAAAAGGGTTGACTGTACATGTTTTGTTGTAAAACAAATACAACATAATAAAATCACTGTACAAACAGCCAGTATAATGGCTGCCAAACCACAACGTAAAGGAACATGGTGTTCATTGACTGTAGCACTCCACTATCCGGTTAATACCAGAAAAAAAATCACCCTTCTTTACTCGTGTGGAAAATAAATTAGTCCTCGTGTTGTGTCAGGACTGACAGAAGAGCTACAGTATCTCGTCCCAGCTGGTACACACGGCCCCTATCTCTCCCACCGCTGTTTTGTTGGTAATGTTGTGCGTTTCCTGACCTGGATGACAGAATGACGAGGTCAGCCGGGAGGTGATCCCGATTTGAAGCTCTGACTACTTCCCCAACAGACACCTGATATTACCAACCACACACCAGCAGGGGGCGAGAGAGAGAAAGTGTGGCAGGAGTAGGACAAGGGGCAGGAGAGAAAAGGATGAGGAAAAGAAGAGGGGGAGGGATAGAGAGGGGGGAAAAATGAAAACACAGACAGACAAACAGCAAACACATAAGGGGAGAAAAACAACAGTTTCAGTTTTAGGGAGATGAGAAGAGCACAATGATCAGTCCTGTATGATCAGAGGGTACTGGTGGTCATCTGTTCTCCTTTTCACAAAACCATTTGGAAAAGCATATAACATCTAATAGAACAGACAGTATTGTGGTGAAATTAACAGAGGATCTTTTTAACAAAAATGAAACTTCCCAGTCTCCATTTTAGAGAAATTGTAATACAATCTGCACCAAATTTGAATTTTAAAAATCTTAAAGGAGGAGTAGGCTACAAAGCCTGATCCATAGCAGCCCCCCCCCGGTTTTTGAAAAGGTGAAGGAGGTAGGTAGGTTTATGTTGACATGATTGGTCAAGTCTGATTAAAAAAAAAAATCACATTACCATTGCTCCACCTAGAGAAATGATGGCTGCCACATCAGGCTTCAGAGCATCATATCCCTCCTGTCCCGATTGTCAAAAGCAGGACTTTTTAACTCACTCAACCACTTTTACAAAATAGTACCAGTACTGGCTTGATGTATTATCTAGCCATCACTTCTTTAGGGAGAGCCGAGAGAGAGCAGGAAGAAAGAAGGGGAAAGCTCCCCACAGTCTCCCGGCAGAGTGGACTCCTATACCTGGACGACAGAATGACAGCATCCGCAGGTACGAAATCACTGCCATTTATTCTAACAATATCACCCACTTCAACCTGTGAAAATAAACTGGTTACTGCAGTGTACTGCCTATAAAACAGCAAAACAGGAAAGATGAGTACAGCAACAGGAGCAAAAGTGCACAGCTGGACGAAATAAAACTAACTACATTAAAAGAATAAACAATAAAAAAAATGATGAGAAGACACAGTGACGGAGCAGCTGGAGTCTTTTTTCCATTACTGCTGATCTTTGCATAACAGGTGCAAAGCATATTGCACCATTCAACAACTTCAATGAAGAAAAAAACCATTTCAAATCATAAATCAATCATACAAACTGATTAGAAATCTGCCATCACTTTCTTGTATTTCATGTTGACACACATGTTGTAGTCTGATGTCTGTTTTTAAACTACTGTTGCTGTAAAACTGAAACTGAAACAAAAAATTAAGGATTAAATATTAACTCTGGTCAAATACAACAATAAAATGTTATAATTTCTGCACTGCCTGGTGTTTCTCTGCACATCCTGTGGTTTTAGCTGCATTATTCCAGCCACAGTAACAAAACCGGTTCACTTTGAGAGGAGAAAGGAAACTGCTCTTTGTCCTCCAGCACTGTCGTGTAATGGCCATCCACATGCAAACACTAGAATAATTAGTGGCTGAATGCTAGAGGGGTCAGAGGGTGTATGTGTGTAAGTGTGCATGTATCTGTGACATTTCTTCAACTGACATGGATAGAAAAAACAGAACAGGTAGAATGAATGAATGACCCTTTTTGAAGGTACTGTATAAAATGTGAGCTTGTGAAAATGACCAGTCATTGTGGGTACATACCTTCTCCCAGTGTACAATTTCCCAGGCACCATTTCTCAATACTGTCACGAGATGGAGGAAATTGTGGTAAAAAAAGAAGAAAGAAGCAAAAACAGAGAAAAGAAGAATAAAGGGTGGAGAGAGATAGGGAGCAGCTGTTAGAAAACACAACTAACTGGCAATAATGTCTTTTAATCATGTTACAGTTCAGACCATTAGGTTTCTATTGCCTACTTGTTTGTTGGCAGTGCAGTTACAATAGTCTGTTCTCTATTAAAACCATCAACACACTGGCTTTCCTACTGAAAAACCTGACAAAGAAATGGCTTTCACTACCTTGACATTCTTTTTTGTTGACAACACTGTCAGCTTTGTGACGTTTCTGTAAAAAAAAGAACAATATTCACATTACACATGTGCCATATTAGCCCCTGTCATAAATTAATTAAAAACCTAAAATCAAAACCAGATAAGAGAAACTTTCTTAGGTACAGCCCTGGAGGAGTGTTGCAGGCAGGAGTGGAGAAAAAAACTTAACTGTCCTGTGTTACAAGAGCTGCTGCTTCTCTGATTTTATAGTAGGAAATAGGTTAAAGAAAATGACACCGCATAGCACCACTTACCGTACTACAGTGAGAGAGGGAGATAAGCCTGTCAAAGTCTATGGGTACAAGCTGAAGGAAGATAACACTTCTGCACTGTAGATGCATTCAAAAATTCTCACTGTGACCAGGCAGTCTCTGCACAGACTCATGTTATCATGTCATGGCATTTAAGCGTACAGCCTACTACAGCAAAAATCGAGCAGCTATACAAAGTATGTCGCACTGGGGCAGCTCTGATGGAGGCTTTAGCACCGAAGGTTACAGTCCAGCCTTTTAATGCACTTAACAACACAGAATAATAATGTTATGAAACGTGAAAACAAAGTATTTACTAAATTAATGATTACAAAAAATACTTTGAGAGTTGGCACAAATGTTCAACTGCAGGTCTCATTTTGTAGCCATAGTACGACACTGCTGTACCAAATGCTTTCACACTATAACTATACTACAGTACGTGTAGAGACCACATTGAAATCCAGATTAGCAGTATTACTTCCCCTCGTGTACCCCTTGTCTGCTGCTCACGCAATCAACTGTGACTTCAACAGCTTATTCCAAGGGACAGCTTGTCAAGTAGCATCACTCTGAGTAATAATGTGTTGCTGAGTCTGTCTCACATAAATAATCACTGTGTTTTAAAATCTAGCTCGTAAAGGCAACATGTGCTGTTTCTAATTAGCGAGAAGAGGACATCTCCACTCACATCCCTGTTAATAATCGGTTTACTTTGACGATCCACTCTAATTTATTCTAATTTGGGTAATTCAGCACCCTGCACTGAAGATTCTGGGAGAGAATCATTCTTCTAGTTGTTCACTGACAAAACCAGAACAGCTGAAGATGAATTACTTTATATCAATAATGATGGAGAGATCATGCTAATGATATTAGCTGTCCTTGGCCAGACTTTTCTAAATGACTTAGGGACTCAAAAGTGACAAAAACATCTGTGCACTACTACAGCTGTTATTACCTAATCACATCAAAGCTACACAACCAGCATTTCAAAGTATCCAGTTAACTCAATCTGTTCTAAAGGCTTTGTTTTCTTTTGATCCATCCACTTTTTATTCCAGTTTTCTTGTTTCTTACACCGCTATTCTCTCTCTGCCATCAAGCTCCAGCTGAATCAGATTCGATTGAATATGACTGCAATATACAGTACTCTAGTGTCTAATAAATAACTTGGCTGCGTCACATGACTTTAGTAGATCACCAGCCACATTATGTCCAGAAGCAAATTTCCTACTAGAGACCTTCACAAACCTCATTCATCATGCCCTGTACTAGAGCTGTCAGCTAATTTCATTCACCCATAAGATCTGTTTACCCTGCATAGACCCTCATTCATATAGGTGTAATAAGAATCGACTTGTATTTGTATCAGTTACTCCACAACCTTTCCTGCCTTTTCTTCTCCTCTGTGTCCTTCTGTCATTATGGACGTGGAGAAAAGGAGATATACTGTATTTAGAAGATATGTGTAATCACATTACAGTCAAGGGTGAGTAGCACATCGAGGTTAAGCAGAAATACTGCAGTATCAGGCCTCTATAGGCTTCTGTCATAAAAGGGGAAAAATGAAAGTAAAATGAAAGTGGTAAAAGATAAAAGGGCATCTACAGTTTTACCTTGATTAACCTGCTAAAATGGCTTCAACATGCACCTAATGAGACAACGAGCAATAGTGAAGGAGGTTTAACGACACAAGGGCTTTTCTTTCAGTTTCATGTTACTGCATAAAAGTGCACCATGCACTATTGTGAAACATACTGCAGCTTGTGATTCCTTGTATCATTTGTCTGTGTTTTTAACATTTTATACTGAAAGACAGCTGACGAACCTGGAACAAACAGCCTGAATGAGCTGCAGCAGAGACAGCCAGCCACAAGGTAAGATACGTGCTGTACAGTGTGTGTGCACAGTGCATGGTTCATGAAGTTAGGGGTCGATGTTGCCTTGTCAGGTCAACTTGTGTTGTGTAGTACAGGGAACAGACGGGTGTTCAGGTGACCTTCAGCAGTAAACACAGAGTCATCCCCACTGCATGTGTTTTTCACAGCGGGCTCGGAGACAAAGTGCTGAAAGCGCTGCGCTGGTCCCTCCAGCACAAGAGAAGCTCATAGTATAGAGTAACTGCCCACTGGGAGCTATATAGAGATCGCATTGCAGGGTCACTGCAATACAGCAGAATGCAAGATTCTCTCACTTGGTTTAGATGGATGAGAGAGAACTATGTGGACAAAGAGTAAACATATTTTGAAGCCTTCAAATTCAAAGTGAACAAGAACACATACACTAAATATAATTAACCAAAACAAAATAATAGTGAAATCAGCTTTACATATTAAATAAAATGCCTGGCTTTGTTTGAAGCATCTGTTTAACAGCTACGATTTGCCTGAGGGCACCGAATAGTTTTGCTGTGGTAGGACTAACTGCCTTTGTACATGAGCACTCAGTATCTAGGTTAATTAACT